AGATACTTATATCTTGTTTTTATTAAGTTTTTAGATACAGTATTCTTTCCATGCTTTGATCAGCATTGTAATCTTGTCAAGTCAATATCCTAGTACAAGATTGCATAAACAAAATTGTTGTAGGTAGACTTTTAAGATAAATAAAAAAAAAAAATACATGCCTAAGTTTAAATGAAGGTTTTAAACAGAAGTCATATTATGTTCAGTATACAGTGCTTTTTCTAGACAATTGTAAACTATAAACTCGGTATACAGCGATCTTTTCTACACATTTGTAAACAACAAACTCAGTATACAGTGATCCTTTCTACACAAACTTGGTATAATAAGTGAATCTTTCTACTCAAGTAAATTGAAGATTGTATACAAATTTACTACAAATGCAGCATACAATGATCTTTTCCACATTTTTTTAGTTTCTGCCATTTGTTGATTCTTCTTTTGTGATGGTAAATATATTTCCGCCTTTAGAGAGTACTGTGACCTTAAAAGGCAACATGGTTGTTAGCATCTCCTCAAGTGATTAATCATCTTCAACATCTAATTGGAGGCCGGAAAGAAGGACGTTTTTCTCCACCATAAGATCCTCAAATCCATTGTTGGTCACAATGGCCAATTCCAAGTTAGAAGAATCAACAGAGATACCTTCTACCATTCCCGATTTCATTTCTTGAAGGACATCCACCTGCTGAAAGAGAGTAAGGGAAATAAATAACTATATTTCATTATTGCTATGATTATGTGCAAGAAATATACACTTCTGTATAAGCTTATAGTCTTGAACTTCCCAATAGGAGTCTATATTAAATATATTGTAATTAATTATTTTGACGTTCAGGACTGTCAAATTATTAAGCGATGGACAGCTAGCAAAATAATAATATCTTGACCATGGTCATACAGAGATTGAATCATAAAGTTAAATTTGTGTGATAAATCTGTGCAGTATGATAATTTATTTTGACGTTTGTATTTCAAAAATCATTTTGACTTGAAAAGTAATGTGTAATTTAATTAATTACATTGGACCGTCATGTAATGGTTATTTAATTATTTTGAAAATACCTGTAATGGCAATGCCATTTTCATAATGTAATTGTAATTTAATTAATTACATCATCATGTAATTGAACCCATGCCTGTTACAAACAGTAGCTGTCCTAACTGATCCTAAAATTAACTTTGGCTACGTCTATCACAAAATTAACTTTGGCTGTCTATTACAAATGCCACATTTAGCTACAGTAGAGGTATTTCAAAAATGTATGTCATTGTAGCTGAAAGAACATAATTAATGGTTACATAACCAGAACTACAGTTCTGAACAAGCCACTACAAAGCCTGGTTAACTGTACTAAGAAAATGTCCTCTCAATTAATCAATTTCATTGATTATTGACATCTTATTGTTGTACTTACAGTCACTTGAGTTTATTAAAGTTTCAATTTGACTTTTAATAAGGCCCAAAGTGATAATACTGCAATGTCTTAATTAGCTCTCGAGGGGTATTGGTTAAACTATTTATCCCATTTCATTCCATTCACCATGGAAACAAAACTCTAAAACGCTAAAAAAACAGTCGACAATTAATGACAAATATTGCGCCTAGGGCTGGGTAAAATTGATGAATCAAAAGTGTTGAACTGAAAGTGGACGCAGTTGACATAATACTGAAATTTCTGAGATGAACAAATACAGTACATATATTAAAAGTTCAGGCATAATAAGAATTGTACCAATTACACTTTACACATTCACACTGGGACCTTACACTTTACACATTCACACTGGGACCTAACACTTTGCTAGGTTTATCCTAATCTTCATTAAAACACTTTCCGGGATTCAGATGTTAATTGACATCTTCATTATTCCCAATCTTCATATTGTAATCGTTCACACGCATCACTCTTCAACAGAATCAACGAGACATCATGTCAGAAAGACAAAAACTAAATTTAAGCTAAAACTATATATATTAACTTCACATGTAAACCTTACAATTGGCATAGCTGTAGAGTTCCCGTACGATTTCATACCCTGGACTTGGGGTACTTATAAATTCTCTCCGATCAGAAATTTGAAAGAGCTAGATCTACAATAGCACAGACAGTGACCGATATTTTAAAGTAAAATCGATATATTAGCGTAAGTAGTACAGTACAATATTACGGATAAGGTTTTTTCTGTTTAATTTCAAATCTGTTGGGCAACTGACAGAAGTGACTGCGATGAGACCATTATGAAACGATCATTCAAAAATAAATCCATTTCAAAATACTGAAATACTTTACGGAAGCAACAAAAATGTGCTAGATGCTTACATAACATTTTTCAAATGCATACTGCTTCAAAGGAAAAGTCTTGAAAATATTTTGAAAAAAAAAGTGCCATGGCGGCAGTGCCCAGCTTGCGCGTCGCCGTCGAGTCTAAATTCAATACATGTGATGGCTCATTTCAAATGAATTGTTGCAAAAAAATGCAATTGCTAGTTCAGTATAAGTATTGACTTTAAATTAGGCTTACATATATATATATAGAGTGATACTTACCTACATAAATTACCCGCCGTCTTCTTTCAGACACCGTCTTCTTTCAGGGTCCAGCAGCACAGAGCACCCCGGCTGTTTCCGTCAAAATTTTATGCTACTCTAAATCATTCTTATTTTAGTTTCATTTTTATTTCCAACTACATCTTTCAGTATTTTAATAGTTTTCAATAGTATTAAACGGGAAGTAAATTTTCGAAAAAGAAAAAAAAAGAAAGTAGTACAAAATGTATATGACACCCACAATGCATCGCGCGGAAAAGAAAGTTAAGCCGCCATATTGGCATCGCCTCGCAAAATTTACCACCATAAACGTGAGTCTTTGTCATTGTATTTACAAATTTCGATGTCTGATTATCATTTATACACAACACAAAACGTTTTCTTGATGTACAAGTATTGAAGAAAATGTCGATAAGGTTGTTTCATTTAATGACTAGCATCAGCAACTTGTAGGGGCGATAATCCAATGATTACAGTAATGTCCGGCAGATGGAGTAGGAGTAAACTTTCGATTTATGAACCAATGAAAACGAAGTACTGATACTCAGGGGCGACAGCAACATGCTGAAGAGCAATGCTCTTAGCATAAAAAGCACACATACTCTTAAACAAAATCCCTAGATAATTTTCGTAAAATTCACACGAAAACTCCAAATATTGACTAGTATAATTACACTTGAGGCATCCTTATCCGGGGATCAATCTTAGGTCATTTTACTACTGATATTGAGTAGTTTCCCCTTGCTAATAAAATCCCCCCTTTTACAGCATGTTCCCCTGGAATCTTACAATATATTCCCATATTTTACATCCATTATCATTTTTCTTTCTGAATTTCCCCTATTTTAATAGAAATTACATTTTAATCTTTCAGTTTTGGAGTAGAATCTGATAGATTCTGTATATTTTCTGGTTTAAAGATAATCTTACATGATTCCAAAGTTATTTGAACAGTCAAACACAAAGTGCTGAAAAATTATAAATTGTTCTCAGCCCAGGAGGGTTTTTCTTGTAGCCCTCAGCAACCAGGCTATTTTCCCCTAGTTACTGAAAAGGTGCTTTCTCCTATATCCTAGATCAATCCATGGTATCATATACATTGTTCCCTACTATCATTGGAGAACTTGATCTAAGGTAAGATAAGGTTATCATAAATATCACTATTCAGCCTTTGAATAGGATGATTTTTTTTATGAATGATAAAAAGTGAAAAAAAAGAATGAATATTTTGTCAGTAGCAAGCATTTGTCACATCACTGTTGAACTGTAGTGGAACAAGTTTGATTATGTTATCAGTTACTTACTGTAATTTGTGGGAGTCTAACTGACCACAGTGTTGTAATAAATCTGTCAGGTGAGCTACAAACCACCAGTTACTGAACACAGCGCTGTAAAACACATAAAAAACAAGCTTTTACTACTATTGACCTTTCAGTAATACCATACTTGACCTATAAACTGCCCCCACCCTCCTTCCCTTCATCCCAAGTCCCTTTCAGCATCCCATATCTTTACCATTCCTGATTAAAGTTGCAATCTTGTTTATGTTTTTTTAAATAAAATAACTCCAAAGTACTTGTGATTATAATACCTACAATGTATATTATAATAAATCTATCTGTGGGAGAGGCGAAAAATTCTTTGAAGTCATTTGAATATCAAACAACAATATCATAAAACAACCTGTATGTAAACTCTTACTTATCTCTGCCAAAATAATTTTCTTTTCCAGTGACAGCTCTTTCTGAACTTAATTGACCTTTCCATCATTGAACTTTTGACCTCTTTGACCCCTGACTTACCTGCTGTCCTTAATGACTTGGTGGATGTCATACTCCAATGCAGATAGCAGAATATTATCTAGCTCTCCTATCCTGGTGTTACTGCGATACTCATCCAGACAAACCTGAAATTTAAAAAGAGTCTTACCCAGTACATTCAATGTATTTGTTAAGGCACTGTGAAAAAAAAAGAGAGAATGTGACAAAACACTGACTACATTTAATTTTCAATGATTATATTTATGTTTTTGAGGCAGACTTATTATTTCAAAAATCCTTACCTGTATGTGGTACTGTAGGTCGTAGCCTTTGATGGTTGGATTTTGGTACAGAAGTTTTGACACAAGCATATGGTACCAAGTTTCACACAGGTCCCGGAACTCAGAAAAAACTTGATCATTTCCAGTAAGGATCTATAATAGATATACCAGGTAATCCATAAACATTTATATTTTAGAATTTGTTTTCTTGGTGTAATTATACTGAAAGAATTTGAATACATGATTTTAGACCAAATTAGATGCCTTGGCAAACTTGTACATAGAAAGAAAAGAAGATTTGACCATGTACAAGATATGTTCCACCATGATCTGCTATAAAATAGGACCAAAATAAATTATGAGAAAGAAAACAATCTTAAAAGTGACTGCACTCTGGATGGTATGAAGAGACACAGGTTTACTACCATAATGCATCAAAGAAATGAGATTTGTAGCACAACAGTACCTTCCCAATTGTCTCTAAATTTCCATATGATGAGAATTCTCCCTCCTCCACTCTTCGCTCACATTCGTCTCGCCAATGTCTCCATTTCATGTCAAATTCAGCAATTGAATGACCACGAAACAGCTGCTAAAAACCAGAATCATAATGGTCAAATTGTTGTTGACAAATTCAAATTCTCACAGCTATGAGATTTTCCCTCCATTCAAGTTGCTGTAATTATGCACTTGACATACGTGCTTTGATTTAACAAAATTGATTTGAAAAAGTTATTTACAGTCAACTTACTGTTTGCTGTGGCATTTTCTTGAGAAGATCATCCATACTGGTAAAAGCTTTGCTGTGTTTTGAAGAGTGAAAAGTCAGGAGCCGACGTACATGGTCGGCCTGGCCTTGGAGGACCAGACGATAGATCTGGAATAACACAGAAACAGAATATAAACCATAGAATAGACATTCTGATAACACAATCAGTAGAAGATTAGAGTGTGATGTTTCGATGACTATACAATCACCTTTATAAGATAAATCACCAGTTTGAAGTGTACTAGCACTGATGTACATAGCGTAGGAGATGGTAAGGGATTACCCAACCTTTTCAGCTGTGCTATAATCCTTTGTAAACTAAGGTTGAAAATAGTGAGACAAGATGGAAAACAGATTACAGACAGAAAAATACCCAAAATGTTTACTGTACTGTAGTAAATTCTGCTATACTTTAATTGACACTTGGTAACAGATATGCGAGTCTGTGGCCCCCCCCCCCCCTTATCCCTGTTTCATACTGGCCCACTGTGGCATATCAATATGGCTTCCTTAACTAGCCACCTGAAAAGGTTGTTTTCCCTGTCAACTATTTTGGAATTTTCACAGTCAATGATATGATTTTGCTGTGTGGAATGATCTGTAAGTGCCGATTTATTGATCAGAGACAGAAAATGTTTTCACTCTGATCTTGTAAAAGTTTTTGCCTTCCTGGGATTCCATGTCTTTCCAATGTTCATTAAGCCGAACCCCAAATCTCCTGCCAGTTTCTTCGCTATACGATGGGTCATAGTTTTTGCATCCTATCATGTTTACACATTCTGTGACATTCTCTTTAGGTGTTTCTATCCTTAGGATGGACATTTTGGAGAGTTTTGTGAGGTTTCATAGCTGTTGTAAATGCCATGACCACTGTAAATCCTCCGAATGGTTTCTGACAGGCCTTTGATATAAGGTAGGACTACTTGTCCTTTTGTTTTCTTTTTTTCATTGGTGTCTTGTCTCTTAGCCTTTTTCCTGTCATCAACCTCATTAACTTTCTGGATTGCCCATTCAGGGTATCCACAAGTTTTCATGGCACTATGGATGTGATTTTATATTCTTGTTTCTTGTCTTGTTCTACTGTGACAATCATTTCACATCTGTTTAGCAAGGTTCTTAAAACACCCTACTTCTGGTGTAAGCAGTGGTGCAATCAAAAGTTCAAGTACTGGTCCATGTGTGTATTTTCCCTACAGAACAAAAATACTTTGATAGTAGTCATCTTTGTTTATGAGGAGAGTGTCAAGGACTGGCAAAGCCCCATTAATTTCTTCCTCCCATGTGAATTTGATGCTGTCGGTGGTATCTACAGTATTGATATGCTCAGTCAAATCTTTCTGTGATCCCATTTTAAAATATTTCCAATATGTCATCAATATACCACTTCCACAGACTGGACTGGACTATGGGGCCTTGGTTATAGCCTCTTTCTTCAAGTGCTCTATGAAGCGGAGACACTGGGCTGACCATGACTGTGCCAAACCATTGCTCATAGATGGTATCTCAGCAAGGAAAGTATGCTTTTGTAAGAACAAATTCTAGTAAATCCATGACGTCTTGGATATGGAGATTGGCGTTCTTTTGTCAAAACTGGTCTTGCTCTATTCTACTCCACATGTTACCAAGTGCTTTGTTAGTGGGTGTGTTGGTGTAAATAGACGCCTGTTGAGTGAAATGAATTCCTGATCATTTTGGAAATGTACCATGGACATATTTTCTACAGGGTGTTTCCAGTTTTTGACATGATGTTCCGATTTTCCTATTAAAGGTCCGAGAATGTCTGCTAGTGACCTGGAGACATTGTAACCAATGGAACCAGTATAGTCCACTTCAAGCTGTAATGGATTACCTTCTTTGTGGATCTTGAGTGTGCAGTACATTGTAGGCATGCTCCCTGCAGTGTAATACATGTGTCTACATCATAATTCACTCATCTTATCTTCTTGCTTTGATTTTAAAAAGATAGCTACCAGGTGGTTTTTAAACTTTTGGGTAAGGTTATTCTGGAGTTTTATGACTATACTACAGCTGAAAATGTTGGTTGATTCCTTACCATCTTGTACACTACGTACATTACACTAGTCATCTTGTACACAATGTACCTCCGTGCTAGTCTTCTCCACACTGGTCATTTGTCTGATGAAGGTGACCGTGTAGATCTTGTACACTATGTAAGTCAGTGCTAGTACACTCCATACTGGTCATTTGTCTGATGAAGGTGACTGTGTAGTCATTGAAATGTCACACTTTAATCTTCTACTGGTTGTGTGCAACCCAAAGAAAATGTTTAGAAATAGGATATAAACCATCTTCCAGGTCAGAATGTTTCCTGAGTGAAACATATATGTAACGTCCAGAAATTCAAAACGTGATACTTGTCTGGTATGATATGGAGATATAACAGACACTGTCTCTGTTATGACAGTGTCCATGACTGTTGCCCTTGTATTGATCCTTAAATCTTTACCGTGTCCCAGTACAGGGGATGATGCTCGGGTTGTTCCTCTTGGATTATTTCCAGAAACATTTGTTCTCCTGTCTGGAAGTGGAATCGAAGCCATTCCAACAATGGAGCGATCACTAAGCCACCTAAAACAAAATATCAATTGGTTTCATAGAATCATAATTATCTATCACAGGTAATAATGGTCATCATAACTACAACATCACTATTAGGCAATACTGATAAAAACCAGGCATTTCTGTTCAAAATGCTCCTAATTTAAACATATTTAATTTTCCAGTCTGAAAGGATTTCAGTAAACAAGCTCCTGCAAGCAGCATAAAATGTACATGGAATATCACTAATGAAACCATGAAGATAAAGCTTATCAAGTTTCATAGTGAGAGGGCTGAAAAGCAAGTGATAAGAGAGACAAGGGCAATAACTCTAACAAAATCTTAAGCCTCTTGAGAATACTCTGCTCAAAATTTGACATGTGCAAACAAATATGTTTGAATCTAAAAGTTCAGGGAAAAATAAGAGTTTCAAAACATTAAAAGAAATAAATAAAAAGATACAAAGAAGTGCAATGCTATACATTTGTGTTGTAGGACTAACGCAATTATGCTTTTACAGTCAATACACTGACCTGCAGGACTGTCGATGAAGAGAATCTCACACAATCCCCAAATCAGTTCTGCCATCTCCAGAAGCTGTAAATGATCCAGGAAGTCCTGTTTCTGTTCTTCATCTATTGTGGAATCTGCAATAATGATGTTTATAAGCTATATTACATATATCTTAACTCAAAGAATAGACAACATCCACTGCTTGGTCCAAGAAATTTTAATAAAAGACAGAAATGCATTGTTGAAGAAAACACAAAATATCCTAGCCAATAAGTTTACAAAACGAATCTGATACAATCCTCTGATTTCAAACAAGTTCAATCTAAACTTAAATTCTTAATAATCATACAATAACTGAAATGATGATTTTAGGGCCTTTACTATTTCTGATATATGTAAATGACATGCAAGTGTGTATAAAACTAATTATTCGAATAGCCAATATATGTGACCCAGCAGTTATTTCTCAAACTTTGTGTTTGAAGTCCTGTCAAATTGGTTATTTTTCATTGCATTTAAAAACAGAAAGCATTCTATTTGGTATTAGATAAAAAAAATGATTAAAATTGTGTGTAATAATCACACCTGCTAATATCTTCAAGAAATTCAATTGTCAAAAAGGCTATTTTTGTATGCTTTTAGGTCAAGAAAAACTCTAGGCTTCTTCTTTGATTTTATGTCACTTTGACTACGCATGTACTAGTTGGTACGAAGGTTTATCTTAAAAAGAATAATAGCACAAAACAAAGTAGATTTATTTTGAATGTTCACAATAAAACACATAATGATCAAACATGCTTGATGTTGTTTCCTAAATTAACAGTTTAATATTTTCCATGGCTTGAATTATATGTATGTATCTTTTGAAAAAAATCCACGTAACATTTCCAACATATAATTTTACTAATGATTCATGGAGCACATTTTTGTTTTGTCGGAGCTAAAGAATGGAATCTACTTCCAGAAAATACAAAAACAATACGTTAGATTCAAATCTCAAGTAAAACCTTTCAGACAAAATGACATAACAGTGATTATGTTTGCTAAAACAGATGATGTTTTTTTTTATCTACATTTTGAAGGAAAATGCTTTTTGGGCTATCCTTGGATAGATTTGTTTAACATATATCAGCTGTCTTTATTGTGATTTAATGTTCCGGTGTTGCATGTTTTATTTATGCCAATTTTTCACCTTATGTACTATGTAACATGTATTTTATTTATCATGCTTTGTATACATTTGTGCAAATCTTTCCTGAAAAAATTTATTATTATTACAACAACTAAAATGATGATTTTGGGTTCAATTTCATTAAAACTGTTCTATAAAACTAAATATTCAAATAGCCAATATATGTGACGAAGATTATTGTGTTGAATAAATTATTTACTTTAAACCTTATATTAAAAATGATAATTTCTAATCACACCTGCTAATATCTTCAGTTCCAGGCTATATGCCTTCAGCGAGGCTCGGTACTGCTTGCTGGATCTAATAATGCTGAAAATAAAACGGAATCATTGCCTAAATCAAGAGTGGTTGATGTTATTTTAAAGTAACATTTCCTTACTGTACTATGCATCACATTTTTTGGGGCGAGTTAAACTTGAGACACCTCAAGCCTCAGCTATATAATGAAAACTGGGAAAATGTTGCTGGAGAAAAGTGTCTTAAAAAGAAAACAGCCATCTTTCATGGTATTTCTTTTATAGAAAGTTATGTGTCAATGTCTTTTTTGATTGTTCTTGAAGACACGTGAAAACATCTGCAAATAAAATGTTAATTAATATAACCTCAAAAAATAAGTTCATTACTGCTGTCTGATCTTCCTTAAAAATAAGATACCATTGAAAAAGTAAAATTGCAGAAAAATATTATTCTGGAACCAACACAGTACTTAAGCTCAGAATCAAATTATATGAGCTACAGTCACTTCAGTGTTAAGGAATTGAATTAACTTTGAAAACATCACAAGCAGTTGCTAGCAGGTTAATTTCATGAACAAAAACAGTCAATCGACAATATTAAAAGAAATTTAAATATTACTAACTATGAGATTCATTGACAAGCTTTCTAAGGACAGGTCGGTGTAGGTCTGTGTCCCATTTCACTTCTCGTATTGTTTCTTCCTTCATTAGAGGTGCTCGTCTCTCTGAATCAACAATAAACAATTATTATTATTCCTTAAAAATCAAAATATATGTCATCTATATTTAGATTAACTAAGCATATAGATATTAACACATTGTACAGTATGACATAAAAACATTGTATAAATCTTGCTCACCATAAACTGATTATGGTATACACATAGCTGTAATGTGTATTATTTCTCTTTCTCTACATCAACAAGAACATTTATATAATTGATATTATATCATAAACAATAAACTTGCAAAACTTAAATATATGAAATTTTTATTTTTATTTTTCATTTTTGAAAATTGTGACTGACTCACGTTTTCCAATTGAAGTATTGAAACCATAAAAATCCGGTTGAATGCAATCGAACATCTCTTTCTCTCTCTCTTACAAATACTTACCATTCAATAATACTGCCTTTTTGCCAGGAAAAACAAAGAACTGATTGCCACATCCCCAAACTGCTTGTAAACCTTGAGCACATGATGGGTCATTGACAGCCTGAAAAGAGCAGCAAAGGTTCACAAATCTGAGATATCAAAATAAAAGACCCGATGTAAAAGTAGTCCATGAAATGAATAACTGCATTACATACACTATGTCATGTTCCCAGCGGACATTCTGTTCTAAACTACCATTTCACTTCTATCGATACAAATACATTATATTTTCAAAAAATTTGGTCACGACATCAACATCCAAGTCCCGGCACCGTTTATCCGGGTTTAACAAAGCATTGACAAGCATGTTGAACTCATACGATCAAGCTTTTAAGTAAAACAACAGAAGACACATTAAAGTTCTTGCTTAGATAAATGTTTAGTAAGTATTAAACAATCTAATTCATCTTACACAGAAGTGTGGCTCTCTTTCCCGCTCCGCCATCTTGGACTACCTTCACAATTGAAGAGTTCCAAATTAAAGTACAAGACGTACAAGATGGCTCTGAAGTGGATATCTGGGGAGAAAGTTAAAAATGCTCTTACTTATGAACATTTGATACCTGAGATGGAAAAGGCTCTGTCTACGTTTTCTCAGGGATCCGTTGTTCAACCAGTGAGGACGGTTGTACCTGTCAACAAAGTTAACGGGTTATTATTTTTTATGGTTCTTTCTTGGATATTGAAAGTAGAAAAATAATAATAATAATAGACTTGCACAAGTCCACACTAAAGATACATTTTAAAAATGATTTCACGTCACTAGACGATTCGCAAATCGTGATATGAAAAATGACAAAAGCTGTTAGAAGTAATACCGAACAGAGGAATTGGACTGAAGCATAAGTATAAGTACAGCATACTATATCAATTAAAATTCCATTTATGAATAGTGGGAGGCATGCTGTGTTGATAAAAATCCAAAAAAATATTCTTATACTGACTGGTTGATTTTTATATCATTTGCATTACTGTGGTTTTATGTCTGTATGTATTTATTTAACAGTTTTTCTGTCCACAATAACAGCCTATCAGTCTTTCAGTGGACAACATCATGTCTGTTAGTTTTGTTATTTAGATACAAAATAGCTCTTCAGATACAATATTATTTGTATAGCCTAAAACATTTTATTCCAAATTAACATATATTCTTGAAACTATGCTCTGTTTGAATGTAAAATATTCTTTAATTGAGACATATATTCTTGTATCAATGAATGAAGTGGTAATGTGTCATAATTAAGTTGAAGTGGGACACAGCATGCACCACAGCATTGTTGGTGGTGTGATCATGTAAGTGAAATAAATCTTATATTGTGCAACCAGATGCTTATCTCTTGTAAAATTTTCAAAGAGATTGTTGAACAAGACTATTCTTCAAATGTAGTACTGTTTCTGCCTTCAGGACCATACAATCACCATTTGTAACACTTGTTAATGTATAGTGATTAATAAACCTAACTCTTTAAATATGTTTTGTATAATAAAATGATAATAAAAGTACTTAATGCATCAGAAAGGAAAAAGGATAATTTACAGATGTTACTTCAAGGTATTCATATTGATAACTGATACATATAAATTGAAAATTTTTCATGTTCCACGGTAAAAAAATCAATAATACAAATAAAACCTAGTATTACAACTGGAAATGATAACACAAAGTGGAGGAGTCCAATGTCTTGTGTGTGGTACTGGTAGGTAGATGTGTGGTAGAGGAGTCCAATGTCCTGTGTGTGGTACTGGTAGGTAGATGTATCGGTAGAGGAGGCCAATGTCCTGTGTGTGGTACTGGTTGGTAGATGTATGGGTAGAGGAGTCAAATATCCTGTGTGTAGTACTGGTTGGTAGATGTATGGGTAGAGGAGTCCAACATCCTGTGTGTGGTACTGGTTGGTAGATGTATGGGTAGAGGAATCCAATGTCCTGTGTGTGGTACTGGTTGGTAGATGTATAGGTAGAGGAGTCCAATGTCCTGTGTGTGGTACTGGTTGGTAGATGTATGGGTAGAGGAGTCCAATGTCCTGTGTGTGGTACTGGTTGGTAGATGTATGGGTGGAGGAGTCCAATGTCCTGTGGGTGGTACTGGTTGGTAGATGTATGGGTAGAGGAGTCCAATGTCCTGTGTGTGGTACTGGTTGGTAGATGTATGGGTAGAGGAGTCCAATGTCCTGTGTGTGGTACTGGTTGGTAGATGTATGGGTAGAGGAGTCCAATGTCCTGTGTGTGGTACTGGTTGGTAGATGTATGGGTAGAGGAGTCCAATGTCCTGTGTGTGGTACTGGTTGGTAGATGTATGGGTAGAGGAGTCCAACATCCTGTGTGTGGTACTGGTTGGTAGATGTATGGGTAGAGGAGTCCAACATCCTGTGTGTGGTACTGGTTGGTAGATGTATGGGTAGAGGAGTCCAATGTCCTGTGTGTGGTACTGGTAGGTAGATCTATGGGTAGAGGAGTCCAATGTCCTGTGTGTGGTACTGGTAGGTAGATGTATGGGTAGAGGAGTCCAACATCCTGTGGGTGGTACTGGTTGGTAGATGTATGGGTAGAGGAGTCCAATGTCCTGTGTGTGGTACTGGTAGGTAGATCTATGGGTAGAGGAGTCCAACATCCTGTGTGTGGTACTGGTTGGTAGATGTATGGGTAGAGGAGTCCAATGTCCTGTGTGTAGTACTGGTTGGTAGATGTATGGGTAGAGGAGTCCGAAGTCCTGTGTGTGGTACTGGTAGGTAGATGTATGGGTAGAGGAGTCCAATGTCCTGTGTGTGGTACTGGTAGGTAGATCTATGGGTAGAGGAGTCAAACATCCTGAGTGTGGTACTGGTTGGTAGATGTATGGGTAGAGGAGTCCAACATCCTGTGTGTGGTACTGGTTGGTAGATGTATGGGTAGAGGAGTCCAATGTCCTGTGTGTGGTACTGGTTGGTAGATGTATAGGTAGAGGAGTCCAATGTCCTGTGTGTAGTACTGGTTGGTAGATGTATGGGTAGAGGAATCCAATGTCCTGTGTGTGGTACTGGTTGGTAGATGTATGGGTAGAGGAATCCAATGTCCTGTGTGTAGTACTGGTTGGTAGATGTATGGGTAGAGGAATCCAATGTCCTGTGTGTGGTACTGGTTGGTAGATGTATGGGTAGAGGAGTCAAATGTCCTGTGTGTGGTACTGGTAGGTAGATGTATGGGTAGAGGAGTCCAATGTCCTGTGTGTAGTACTGGTTGGTAGATGTATGGGAAGAGGAGTCCAACATCCTGTGTGTGGTACTGGTTGGTAGATGTATGGGTAGAGGAATCCAATGTCCTGTGTGTGGTACTGGTAGGTAGATCTATGGGTAGAGGAGTCCAACATCCTGTGTGTGGTACTGGTTAGTAGATGTATGGGTAGAGGAGGCCAATGTCCTGTGTGTGGTACTGGTAGGAAGATGTATGGGTAGAGGAGTCCAATATCCTGTGTGTAGTACTAGTAGGTAGATGTATGGTAGATGAGTCCAATGTCCTATGGGTGGTACTGGTAGGTAGATCTATGGGTAGAGGAGTCCAACATCCTGTGTGTGGTACAGGTTGGTAGATGTATGGGTAGAGGAGTCCAACATCCTGTGTGTGGTACTGGTTGGTAGATGTATGGGTAGAGGAATCCAATGTCCTGTGTGTGGTACTGGTAGGTAGATCTATGGGTAGAGGAGTCCAACATCCTGTGTGTGGTACTGGTTGGTAGATGTATGGGTAGAGGAATCCAATGTCCTGTGTGTGGTACTGGTAGGTAGATGTATGGGTAGAGGAGTCCAATGTCCTGTGTGTGGTACTGGTTGGTAGATGTATAGGTAGAGGAGTCCAATGTCCTGTGTGTGGTACCTGTAGGTAGATGTATTGGTAGAGGAGGCCAATGTCCTGTGTGTGGTACCTGTAGGTAGATGTATTGGTAGAGGAGTCCAACATCCTGTGTGTGGTACTGGTAGGTAGATGTATGGTAGAGGAGTCCAATGTCCTGTGTGTGGTACCTGTAGGTAGATGTATTGGTAGAGGAGGCCAATGTCCTGTGTGTGGTACCTGTAGGTAGATGTATTGGTAGAGGAGTCCAATGTCCTGTGTGTGGTACTGGTTGGTAGATGTATGGGTAGAGGAGTCCAATGTCCTGTGTGTGATGCTGGTAAGTAAAGTATTGCTGCAGGAAAAGATGGTAGGTAATAACAAGTAGGTAAAGGATGGAACATCAACACCAGACACACACCTTACCCTGGATAGCATCAAAAACAGATGTTCTCTTACCACCAGACTAATTCATTATCTGTAACACAAAGACTGTTGGTTAATTGGTTGGTTATAGGTCTCTGTGACTCTTTCTATCTCAAGGCATTGCCTCACTGACAAATGTTTTGGTGATGTTATTAAAGTGGAGATCGGGGATAGAAACTTTTGTTGGAATATCTACAGAAACTACAGAACTTCAATATAACATGAGCCATTTCATCACGTATTTTGTGTTAACAAAGATCTGATCACACATAATGACGAAATCCTAATGAAAGTCAAAGATCATGATTGAAAAGGAAGAAAATTGTAAAACATTGATAGAGATTATTAGTTGATGCCAAACAGGTGGTGTATTATTAGTGAAAAAAAAAATCAAAATTCTTTTTTCATGTGTGTTATTTGTGGATTAAATTTATTTTCAACAAATTTTTTGTTCTGTTTATGACCTATTTTGATGCACTTTAGAACAATAAGCTGCTTTTACTGACATCGTGTTACACTGTACTTGACATATCTAGGTATCTGACTGAATAGTGTAATGATATGATAATGTGCCATCTCACAGCCCTACTTTTTGATAGAAACTTCAACATAGTTTCTTTTGCAGGAAATACACACGACTGCTAGTAGTACATGGATTTAACTGCAAGCTATAAAATCATGAAATTTTTTCTTCAGTTGTTCAAAATGAGCATGAAAAGGAAAGAGAAACTTGAGACAGCTCTTGTGTTAGTTTGTTCTGTTTTTATTCTCCCTGAAGGGAGAGCATATAGTTGCCAATTTGTCTCTCCGTCCATCTGTCCGTTCGTCCGTCTGTCATAACTTTGTCTGGAGCATAACACAAAAACTATAAGAGGTATCAACAAAACTTCTATAAATCTCAACGAGATGGAGAGCAGTGCACTCTCTTTTGCATAATTTAGGAGTTATTGCCCTTTGTTTTTTTTCATACTTAAATTTTGTCCTATTCGGGGAGCATAACCTGTGTCTCATGGCCCTTGTTTTTTTTTGTTTTGTTAAATTTTTGATGAAAAAGTAGATATGCCCTTACATTGGCTTTTGATGTGGTGATAGATATGTAATATTCTATACATATGAACGAAAAAGTGTTTGACACTTGTGAATAAGGTTTGTGGTGTTACAATACCTCTGGTGTAGTGTTTTCTTCTCAAGCAGGGAAGAGGTTGAGATAAAGGTACAATAAGTGTACATATTGTATGATGGATAAAAAAAAATCGCTATAAATATACAGAATATATATATAAAGAGCGACATATTTCTGTTTTTGAAAGATGAAAAATCTTTTCTTTTAAGGAATTTTCTGTGTTTTGATTAGGTTCCTGGGAGTCATGCCAGCCTACAGTCCAGAACAAGAAGCATTGGCTACAAAACTTGTCACATTTTTTCCGAACAACAAAAACATTCCTACCCACCATGCTGTAATTGTTATGTTCAATCCTGACTCTGGAGTACCGGAATTGGTTTGTAGCATTATAATTTTGTATTTAATTAATAGAGTGTATTAACCTAGTTGTAGAAATAAGTACCAGCATGCTGGGAAGTAATTCTGTCCATAGATTTTTATAGTTTCCCTAGAGTTTGGAGAGAAAATTTGTTCTCTTCCTGTTGAAGAAATGACCATTTGTTTGAGTTTTTTTTACTTCTATTGTATATAAGTGATCACATCATGAGCGAAATACAATCATAAATGCGATACATTTGTAGAAGTTCAGCATTGCTGGCCTTGACTAGTAGGAATTTCCCATAGTGGAGCAGTAGAATGTCTGGCTAGAGAATAGGGTTGCTAGTTTAAGCGTTAACCCCACCACAGACAGAGAGATTTCATTACTCCTTCCTATTACAGATTTTGTGAAGTTGACCACTGCAAGGGTAGAAGCAACAGGAGACTGCAATGCTTCCTTTAAGATATTGAACCTTGGTTGTTGTTGTCTTTGGGATCAAAGTCTCTGTGAACGATGGTTGGTTAGTGGCAGGTTTTCTGTCTTGGTGACTCCTCTTATCTCTAGGCATTGTCTTACCAATGAGAGTCAGTGTTCTGGCAATGTTTGAGAGGGAGGGAGTAGTGTAGAAGTTGACAGTACAGGTCACCTTACTAGCCTCACTTAGTGGGAATTTACCTTTTAATCAAGCTTTAGTTTGTCTGGCTAGAGACTGTAGGTCACTAGTTAGAACCCTGCCAAAGGTTGGGTGTTTTTCATTACAGTTAGTGTTACAATTAATTAGATATCATGTATCCTATTCTAAATTTTATTGATGTTTTTATATTTTTGATGCAATAAAGATCTCAGATTTATTTATGATGATACACTATCTTACTCTTCTGTCAACAAATTCACACATTGCAATTTGTAATCTGTTTACATATCTAGTATTCTAGAGAAGACCATCAGATATTCTCACTCTTTATATATTTACATGGACCATATGTTACAGTTGATGGATGGAGAAGTGATCACAACAATGAGGACTGCTGCTGTATCAGCTGTGGCAACCAAGGTCAGTTACCATGGTTACAAAGGTCAGCTCTAAAAACGGTTACCATGGGTCACCATTGTTAAAAAAATCAGTTATATTAGGTTATCACAAGGAAAACCATAATTACAAAAGTCAGTTGTATAGGGACTAGGTTAACACAAGGTAACTACAGTTAAAAAGGTCAACAATATAGGTTTATCACAAGGTAACCATGTTGCAAAGATTAGCTGTATAGGGTTATCACAAGGTAACTATAGGTACAAAGGTTAGCTGTATAGGATTATCACAAGGTAACCATAGTTACAAGGATTAGCTGTATAGGGTTTTCACAAGGTAATTATAGTTACAAAGGTTAGCTTTATAGGGTTATCACAAGGTAACCCTAGTTACAACAGCTGTATGAGGTTATCATTATTCAAACTACGAGTTTGCTCCTGGTTTTTCATTTGGAGACAACTCCTCTCCTCTCTTTCCTTTTACTGTACACTACACACATGTACATCATTTCTGTGTTCTGTTACAGGTACTTTATGGAGACAACCCTCAGGTGTTGGCCATTTTAGGATCTGGAGTTCAGGCACGATCCCACTATCAGGCAATGACATCAATTTTCTCCTTCAAGAAGGTATACCACATCATTATGATCAGCAGTTCCTATATAAAACTGGTTCAGCGATGTCTTAAAGCTGGAAAAATAAGACCATGTAATCTTTTGATGAACTCAATTGACTTCACCGAAATGCCTAGCTGTATTTATAAGACAGTAGAAGTCTGGATAACAACCCTCTACTTAAATAAATGAACTATATACTGGTCTCTAGAGGTATCATTTATTTTGCAATAAGCCAAAGGGGCCACCATATTACCTCTGGGTCAGGGGGTGGGCTTATTACAGGACAATGAAATACGATTAGTTGGTTATGTGTATTGAAGTGTAATTACACATTAACCACATTAACTCTGGGTCAGGGGGTGGGCTTATTACAGGACATTGAAATATGATAAGTTGGTTTTGTATCTTGAAGTGTAATTACACATTAACTCTGGGTCAGGGGTGGGCTTATCAAAGGACAATGAAATATGATTATTTGGTTATGTTTACTGAATAGTAAATGATATAGGTTGACTTCTTCCACATCAATAACACAATTTAATAATTTTATTGTAAAGCTATAGATATATTTGGGCTTATCACCAAGCATAGGTTTATAAATATAAAAAAATAACACAAATACATCAATGTTTCAGATAAATGTTTGGAGTAAAACTCCATCAAATGCACAGAAATTAGCAGATGAGATCAACGGGATAGCTTGCACTTCAGCAGAAATGGCGGTGAAGGATGCTGATGTCATTGTTACAGTGACGTCATCATCAGATCCAGTTCTACAGAAAGAATGGGTTAAACCTGGAGCTCATATAAATGGTAGTGTATCTATATAGAACTAGAGTGATTCTTCTACTGTGCTTGAATAGATTAATCACAGATTTTGCTTTTTATAAAAATTAAAACTTCTTAGCCTGAAATACACATTATCAACATCTTTATTTGTACAGGTTGGGAAATAAATTATATTTGACTACATGTAAGAAGTGACCTCTCCTCAGATAAGATGGAAAAAATCTCAGTATTGTTGACATTATAGTGAAAACTCTTTTTATTTGCTTCTACCTACCAGTAACATTCATTTTCACTTCTGTTAGTGTTGTCAGCCTTTGATATTGAAATGCACGATGGAAAGTTGAGATAAAAGTGAAGTACTTACATTTTCAAAATTAATATTTTCTTTAATGTGATATCCAATCAGAACTTGTATTTTATTATTTCAGCTGTTGGGGCATGTCGTCCAGATTGGCAAGAGATTGATTCAGACCTGATGAAGTCAGGGGTGGTGTTTGTGGACAGTCGTGTAGCAGCACATAAGGAGAGTGGTGATGTCATACTATCAGGGGTATGTAAGGATGTTGTACAATTCTACGGTTAGATTAATTTTAGTCCTATGCTTTCAATCTTGGTCTGAATGAGCTCTTTTCCTGCTGTGTTTACTTGGTGTATTTTGTTTGCTTTAAAAGGCCGAAGTTTATGCTGAATTAGGAGAAGTCATTAACAAGGTGAAGGACAAACCTAAAGGGGAGACAACTCTGTTTAAGTCATTAGGTAAGTAACAATTTGCTAGGAATGAAATGGAACCTAGCTTGTACTAATGTTTATATGCTTTTTTGTGGACATAATGCACGTCCTTCATCGGAGAGATGATACCCTGACACGAGAGGGGTGACAGAGATAGAAAATCTGTCAATCAATCGATCACGGACATAAATTATTTAGATTGTAATTCGTCTTGTTAGGGTTGATAAAGTCAGTGTCCCTGATTGATAATTTTGAGAAAGAAAATTACAGTATTTTGAGGGTTCTAATTTTAGCTATTTTTGCGAACGTGTTAAAATCATGAAAATTAAATGCTTTGAAATTAACCAACAAAATCGAGCTCATTTTTATGAGTTATTTTAGATATTTTAAATTTTCACTTTGTACAATTTAAAATTGCATCTCCTATTGAATGTTAGACAAAAAAAAGTTTTTGATGATAAATTTAAGTTAATGTTTTTTTTTTAGGACTTGCTGTAGAAGACATCTTGTCAGCAAAGTTGGTGCAAGACTTGGTATCGGAGTGATTTAACCAAACATTAGGGGATACCAGTCTGATATATATATATACATGGACACCCAGTATTTAAAAACCCTCAAGAGATCTCCATCGTTATGAAAAGGAGCATTTGTAAACAAAGAATCTTTAATCAGACATCTGTTGAATTGATCCTGTGGTGTGTCGGAATAGTAGGGTGGATATGTGTTTTTGGTGCCGAATTGCTTACAAGCGGTGAGCTCACTTGCAAGTGTGATAGGTGGAATAGTTGCATGTAATAGCCTTCATCAGTCACAGAACAGTGAAGTTTTGTAAAGATTGTGGTTGCTAGATGGACCTATGAATGTTTAGGCTGTTGGTGAAGTCCCTACAGGATTTCTGTAGAGTTGTTTTCCATTGATGTTTAGTTGACGATAAACGAAAAAAAGATGTTTTTTAAAATATGGAAAGAAATATGAAACAAGCAGTTACTGAAAATGAAAAAGATATTTTGCATGCTGGATCGAAAAAGTTTTTTTATTTAAGTTGCAAGGACCAGTTCATGTTAAAATTGAAATAGGATTTTTTATAGCTGACTCATGCAGTATGTTTATTTGCAAAAAGTCGTGTCAGCAGTAAAAATGGACTACAGTGGGAATTCTATCACAAGATGTAAAATCAGACACCAGGCAAATCCATCAGAGTAGATCAAGGACTAGCAAACATGAAACTGGCATTCTGGCAGATGGTTTTTCACAACTTTATTTTCTAATATGTTCTGTGTTGTCTGACACAAGGAAATAAGCAGTTTAATTTTTACGTCAAGTTTGGGCAAAGAGGAAGTTGTTAGGAGGAAAAGCCCTAATGTGTGATATTTTTAACCCAAGCTCCGATGTTGTTAGCAGTTTGGCTGTTACAATAATGTTATAGGAATATAAATATTTGGTGTTCTCAGGAAATTCTGTAATCCTCACAGAAACAACATTAAAATTTGTAGCTGGATCTGTCTAATACAGAGAAAGTCGATGAGTTTTGAATGATATAAATGCATTTCATTTGTGTGCAACTGTATTTTTTTTTTTAATCTATATTTTTACATGTACACTTGTATAGCCATTTCATTATTCAGTGATATTTTTATACATTGATTTACTAAGTAGTTTTGTTAGCAAGTATATTTAGATAATTTTTATATCTAGTCTGCAATCACGTATAATCATCGGCAGTGTGTCATGTCGACTTTCACAAAATGGTGTTGAGGTCATGTTATAATGTTGTGAAGTTTAAATTTATGATAAAAAATGAAAAAATACAAAATCAAATTACCATCACTCAATAGGAAATTTTGTTTTTGTCTTTTCAAGGGGATCAATGTTGTATAAACTGTCATTTGTATGACAATGAAATTTTACATAAAAATTGTCTCCATTTTGTTATATCGTTAATGAATTTACAAGCTATCAATTGTTTGAATGAAATCATTAAAACTTACATATTAAAGTGAATTTATGTATTTGGTGATTGTATAGTGTACAGCCACTTATTTGTCTTTGCAGAGGACAAGTTGTAATCCTAATCTGGTGCTATTGATCAAATGTAAGGGTATCTATTTCACTAACTGTAAGTGAAAGTATATTTTGGAAAAAAAGTTATTTTGTATAAATTTGTAAGATTTGTAAACTTGAATTTTGATTATATACCGGTGATTTGTTATTCCTATAAATTGTGCAAATAAAGAAAATAGTAAGACAAACACAGAAATTATCATTTGTTGGAATTAGCTGGTCAACAGTGTCATCTCGTATCAATCAGCACTCGTTTTAAATCTCTAACTACGAACAAACAACAAAGTCGTCCTTGTTATGTATAGATGGCTTTAATCTACCCACCGAAGAGTTATAATTACCAGAGTGAGGCTGTTCAGTCACACGTAACATTACTACCAACAGCTGACCTTGAAATATCACAAATAAATAACATGGGTTGTATCTACAATAGGGTCAAGCTAGCAGGAGAGTTTTTTTTTTAAGAAAATTACAAAACAAATTTCAAGACCATCACTTTTTCTTTTCATTATATCAGGTTGTTATTATAAACCAGGCAATTATGTAAACACAATTATTTCATTTCGCAAAAATATCACTAGAACTATTTTCAAGTTCATCTCTGCATCTTTTTAAAAACTTAATTCACACAAAAGAAAAGAAAGGATATTGCATTTAGAATATCCATAGTTGTTCAGAGAAAATTAATACTAGCTAGGAAATTAGTACTAATTTACACCTACAGTCACAAATTAGCAATACAATGCCCCAGATTGCTTAAAACTTCACATCTAAGGGATGGACCACGTTCTCAATGTCAGCTTTGTTTTCGACTTCAATTTCGGATAAAGCTTACATCTTTGGTAAATATAAATCCGCCGTCCGTGTTTCTAAATGTTCAAGGTTCAACCGTACACTGAACTATACAAAAAATATTCACTGAACATTAAAACTCTTGTCGAAAAAACATGGACACAAGCGTGACATATGGTTATGAATGTGCTTCAGCCACTGAAGTGCTCATTAAAAATTTGTGTTTTAAAAATGATACGATATAAAAATGAGAAGGCTTTGTTTATATCTAAGATACTCTATGAGTATATAGTTACACCAATAACAAAGCTAAGTGTGCTTAAAGATTAAAGGGGGACAAAAATCTCGTATCCATGACAATAAATAATCTATGGTAATGACATGGTTTACAAAATGATCTAAATATCCTAAATATCCAAATCCGAATGGCAAGAAAAATTCAAGGAAGAAAAAATAAAAAATCCTCCATTAGACAAGCAGGATTTCTTCCTGATTTTTAATTTGATTAAAATATTTGGTTTCCATGACGACAGCAGACAAATATAAAGCACAGTCCCTCTGATGTCGGTGTCTAAAACTACTAGTTTCGTTGTAGAGGGTCGACTGGATTTTATGAGTATATCATAAAAATGTGAATTTGTATGGTTATAGCAAGAGGAGACAACTTCAGCTATCAAAACATTCATAAATAATAACACAATGGTACCGGTTTACGTAATATATATTATATATAACAAAATAATATTCACTTTCTCTCTCGTTCTCGCTCTCACATTTTTCTTGCTTATATGACATTGACTTTGCTCAATGACCTTGACCTGGATTAGGACAATTATATAAAAACTCAATCAATGTTTTACAACTTCAGTAAAAGGATTAGATGCTCACAAAAGGACATTTACATTGCATAGTTAGGGAAAAAACTATCATCACTATTTATTAAAATTCGGATTGAACTGGACATTAATTATCTATATGGCACTTTAACCAGTTCTACAGTGAATGATAAATTCCGACTGCAACTATGACACCCAGAAGTATTAGCATTACAGAGTTAACTCCCCTCCCGTTCATTTCTGATTAACTACACAGAAAATAAAAATAAAGAAAAACAGGCATTTAATTAATTTTTACAAATATTAATAGGTAAGTTTTGTTTTCTAAAATATATCAAATCTTGAAATATCAATAGTTCAAACTCTGCGACACACATATAGATGTATATAGGGATTATCACGCAACACAACATGAATATGGTATGTAATGGACACGTAAACAGCAGAATACAATCTAACAGATCAGCAATAAGCAGTCCAAACTTAACGGACATCCTGATGACAACATCGATGATATACACTGTTCGTTAAAAAGTGTCACCTCCGCGATAACAGGTGTACAACCAGATTCTAATACTGATTTCTAGTAGAATTTCACTGACAATTCTATTTCTGTTACTTTAAGGTGATGAATTACACAATATTTTTGAAAGAAATGAAAATTGAATCACCCACACAACTTCAAAACTGAGAAATCCATATAAAGAAAGAAAGAATACAAAAGCTCAGACTTACGACATCAAAATCAACAATTTTAATCCAAAATTCAGGAAAATGGGACCGATTATGTAGAATTTAGGTTTCAAGAAATCTCCAATTTTGGTAATCTCAAACTGGCAGTTACCATCTAATAAAACCTTGAACATTGCTGAATTCAACAATCCCTTCTAGAATAGCAGTTTATTTTCTACTGATGTGAATGTTTCTTATCAGTGAATTTAAACAGATTCACGGGGAATCAATAATCGTTTCATAATAATCTTATCTTGCAAGTAATGATTGAAATAACATGATTTTTTTCTTGAAACAACACTAAAATTCACGTAACTTATACCACACACATCAATAATCAGGTTTTATTTAATTTGAAAATTTGTCTGTATACAGTTGAGACAAAATTTATGGTTGATAGGAGTAGAATTGGGAAACTTCTGCTAATGGAGTTTAATACAATGTCCTTTGCAAGCACTCGCTTCTATTTGCGACAAATGGTTTACTGAAATGACAAAAACTGCTGCAAAAATTTTGTTTATGACTGCACTCGAACTGCACAATGATGAAAATCTAGGCGAAAGCAATTTCTAGGATAACAAATGTTGTCATTCACACAGAAAGCAACAGAGATTTAAATAAGATTGATTAAAAGTCACGACCCTGACAAAACAACAAAGCTTCATGATGATCCACAAAACTTCTGTGCCGCAGACATAGATAATACTCCTCTTGAGAATAAATAGACGTAGCTGAACTACAACACAAGTTTTTACGAGTTTTTTTTTTCCACAACACTTTTCACTTGTTCACAGCACACACGTGTATGTACATCGCCTGCGTCTGTCTTTAAGATATTCCTTTCATGCAGCCAAAATAAATGGTTGTCCATGGCTATTTGAGTGTATACATCAACATGGCTCTTCTGTTCAAGTTTTCAATCATAATAGCACTAGCCCACCACAAGGCACGTGGGTGTCTGTCCTCAATTATCTCCCCTTGGTATGCTTTCTAACTGGGATCAACTTGTGTCCTTCCATACAACGAAATAAAATCAGTCCTCCATTTATGCAACCACTTGTGTACGTCCTGTCAAAAAAAAAACATAGATCAGCATTTTTTTTATTGTTCAGAAAACAATCCAGAAAATTGATTTTCTCATTTTTCATACGTTATTGATGAGAACCTACATAACTATTTTGAAGTGAAAATTTTCATAATTTGATTCTCTTCTCTCAAGGAAATCGTAAAAAACTGTGACCCAAGCTTACATTGCACTCTTTGTACATAATTTCCTGGGAAGGTACCAAACATCCCTGTGCGGATCGATGTTCCAACAAACCAGCCGTCATCACATTTCTCCATCACGTACACCTGATCACCTTCCCACAATTCCAATTCGTCATCATTCTGTGGCTTGTAAGCATACAATGCTTTGTAGCTGTTAGAAAAAAAGAAAAAAACCCAATTCACCATGAACTGATTTTAACATGATCCATATGTTACTTTCACCTGTGTCAAATTTTCACCAGTATGGAATTTTCACAAGTGTCCAATTTTCATCGGTATAAAATTTTCACCAGTGTCCAATTTCACAAATTTTCATCATCAGATTGCATGGTAAGTATTGAACTGGCTTATTGTATTTAGAACCAGCTGCATCAAACTTGTTTTTCTGTTGTTCACTTCTGCTTTTCATCAGCAAAAATTATCACAAAATTAAAATTATTTTGTGGCTAGTTAAACATAGTAGCAGGGTTTGATAAACATGCTGTTTGTTTAGTTGAACCAAAATGACTTTGAAAATCAAATCAATTAAAAAATACAGATATACTTAGTACTCCAAGGAAAACATTTCTAAGTTTTCAAAAATATTTCAAAATACACTGAAACCTGATAATAAAGTCAAGTTTTTTATCACCAAGCTACTAATTGAAAACCCTGTTTGATTCAATATAATTCATCCCAGCCAAACTTCATACGAAACATTCAACCTTGAATAACCCTGATACTTGGGTAACTTGAAGTTTCCTCACAGTCCTGCTGACTTCCACATAACAAGGTTCAAATGTATTTTGAAATTTTCAAAGTTAACTTTTAGCATGAGCTAAGAATAATATGAGAAATGTTAAGTGTGGAAATGTCACTCAGATATCAACAGACCAGATAACTTCTCCATATGTTTACTTTTGACGGCCATGATTAAATGTTACTTACCTACTAGTGGCAAGGTCATCATCCGTGACCTTGGGCCGGTAGTCAAGGTTATTGTCGATGGGGCCGGAGGATTTTGATGGGGAGAAGGAGGCAGAGAGTCCCACATTTTGAAAGGACTGGTGATGGCCATTAGTCTGCGCCCCTGGGACTGAGTTGAGCCCTGCAGGCAGGCTATTGAAATGAGTGGGGTTTCCCCCTCCGTCAAGCTTCGGCGATGAATGGCTGAGGCTCTGTGTGAATGGTTTAGGTGAGTAGGGATATTGTGACATGGAGGAAGATTTAGGGGAGAATGCTCCCGGGGAAGGCTGGGGCGGGGGTGTTGGCACATCTATACTGACTGGAGACAGCATCTCTGGGGTACCTGGAGGGGGAAAATAAAAAAAAACAAGAAACATAAATTACTCATGAATGTTTACCTGCTTCGAACATTGAATGAATTCACACTCCCACAATCAAAGTAATCTTTATAAATCGTTGTATATAATGTAGATTAATGGCCAAAAATAATTATGTGCAAAACAAAACAGAAAGAAATTTGACAATACATACCCCTACCCGTCATAGGGGTAGCGATGACTGAGGGGGCAGGGGTGACTAGAGGGGTTGATGGGTCCTTTAGTACTTCAACATACTGAACTGGAAAGATACCCTGTTTGTGGCCAATTCGCCCCTCAAACCAGTTATCATCCACGCGACGCAAGAGAGTAATCTGGTCGCCCTGTACAATCAACAGTCATATGTTAGAACTTGGCAATGACAGAAATGTGGATTTCATCATTATAGTAATCAAAAAGATATGAAATATTTATAATATTAATATATATATGTTTAAAATTCAAATTGTAATTTAATAGACTCTATGATCAGGCATGCTTATCATTTGAAGAATACAACAGAAAATATGGATGATTCATGAATTTGCTTTTATTCGTTAGAGTAAAACATGACAGGGACTTGTTGCCTACCTTCCTGATAGAGAGCTCAACATTTGTTTGTCCGCTGAAGTTAAACTTGGCAACAGCCTGTCCTTCTGACTGCTGTGCAGCTGCCTGAGCAGCTTCAATAGAGGTCAAGACCTGTTTGTATTGGAAAAAAGACTAGAGGTAATGATCAGTGAGATAAAATGAGAGAGTAAAGGTCATGACCTGTGAGATAAATGTGAGAATAGAAGTCATGACCTGTGAGAAGGATGTGTAAGGTATTTCAATAAAGAATAGAGTCTGACTTGTGAGATTAATAAAAGAATAAAGGTCATGACCTGAGATCAATGAGGGAATAGAGGTCATGACCTGTGAAATGAATGTAATAAGGACTATTTGATTCCTTGATACAAAATTGCCTTCAAACCATGAAGTTTATTGAGTTCAGAATGAGGTAAGAGAGCGAGAACACACATACCTCTACATAGTTTATGGGGAATATCCCCCGCCTTCCATGGCGCTCTCCCTCGAACCAGTGCTTGTCAATCTGTCGGATGAGGTAAACTATGTCACCTTTCCTAAAGCCAAGCTCTCTGAAAAAAAGAAAAAAAAAAAATGAAAAAATAAAACCATAAAGTCACTCTATTGCTGAAATTGATATTGTTTACAGGAACTTTTTAAGCTTGTTTCAACCGTTTTTGTAATTGAGGGTTCAAATATTTCTTTTTACATTCTGATTTGTACCCTGATATGCGATGATATCATCAAGAAATTTAAGGGAATTTGAAACGTCATGATTGGCTCGTAATTACCCATAATAAAGTTTTAAGGGAGACTAAAAAAGGTTTTGATCCAAAAAAAATCAACACATATGTTTTTATTGGTTGGTTTACTAAGGCATGCTGTATACCTTGGATTTTGCGATGAGAAGTTATAGAGAGCCTTTGCTTTGCCCTGGATTTGGAAGCCTCTGCGACGTTCTTCAGGAGCACCATAGCCACCAACACCATCCTCAAATCTGTCTGCAGGGATGGGCGACTTTTGACTAGGTCTGAAAACCAAACAATTCAATTATATTTCTGACTAAACACTATCTAGTAAACGACTAAAACTTCCTGAGGTGGTGTTGAAACCACAAACATGTAGAGAAAATCTAATGGTAAAATTAAGCTTCTATAAACTATCTTTAAATAATGTCAGTGTTATTTGATTGTGAGTCGTTTAAGTTGTAACCATGATAAAACAAAGTTTGTGTCATGGTCATGATGATCAGTAACATTTTATTGCAGAACTACATAATGCATATTCAGTTAATCTCATGAATATTAATTTATCACCTGAACATTAATTCATCTCATGAATATTAATTAATAGCTTTATCTCATGAATATATCAACTTATGAATATTTCTTTCATGACTTTTCACTACCATTACCGATCTTCATGATTAAGTTGTTTGCAACAAACAATCACATAAATATTCATGAAGCTTAAATCATTTAAAAAGTGATACAATCATATGTGTATTTTAAGGATCAATATGTACCTTTGTTCTACAAAGAAGGAAAACAATTAAAACACATCTACAAAAGTAACTGTACTGATAATTTGAATGAATAATATGTCCATAAAATCTCCCCTTCCACACCCTTCTGCTTACAAAAAAACAAAGAATAAATGAAAAAAAACACCTTCAGAAATATGAAGAAAACATGAGATATGAAGTAAGTAGGTATAAAAAAGAAAATTTGGCAGCATGATCAAAACACTGGTAACTATGCATACTAGGAGGTAACAAATATTTGTCTAACAGAACAAAAAGTCTACATTCAATGCAGAATTAAAATTTACATTACACACAAGCTTACATTCATATCTTTTTGCATTAATTTTGCTTTTTTACATGACAAGTCAATTTCCTTTTCCATTTCTGTTCTGTAAACAACCTACTGTATACATACTGGTACATTCAACAGAAGCTCAGCATGCATACAAATACTGGGGTATGTATACAGCATATATTCAGCATACATACGTATACTGGGGTATGTATACAGCATACATTCAGCATACATACAAATAAAGGGGCATGTATACAGCATACATACAAATACTGGGGTATGTATACAGCATATATTCAGCATACATACAAATACTGGGGTATGCATACAGTATACATACAAATACTGGGGTATGTATACAGCATACATTCAGCATACATACTATATTCGGGTAAGTATACAGTATACATACAAATATTGGGGTATGTATACAGCATACATTCAGCATACATACAAATAAAGGGGCATGTATACAGCATACATACAAATACTGGGGTATGTATACAGCATATATTCAGCATACATACAAATACTGGGGTACATTCAGCATACATACAAATACTGGGGTATGTATACAGCATGCATACAAATACTGGGGTATGCATACAGTATACATACAAATACTGGGGTATGTATACAGCATACATTCAGCATACATACAAATACTGGGGTATGTATACAGTATACATACAAATACTGGGGTATGCATACAGCATACAGCATACATTCAGCATACATAATATATTCGGGTAAGTATACAGTATACATACAAATATTGGGGTATGTATACAGCATACATTCAGCATACATACAAATACTGGGGTATGTATACAGCATACATTCAGCATACATGTGTGTATACATACATTCAGCATACATGTGTGTACAGCTTACATTCAGCATACATGCAGAATAAAAACATTGATAGTTATGTCCAATTCAGTTCAACAGTTCACAAACTATTGCTTGATGACACAAACAAAATAAATCAAATAGGTTTTTTTTAACATTTAGCTCTCCTGGAGTCATATAAATTTACAAATCAAGCGATACATGCATAGCATTTTCTGTCCAGTAACATAAGTATCAGGTCTGACATACACCTAGGTAACATAAGTATCAGGTCTGTCATACACCTTGGTAACATAAGTATAAGGCCTGACATACACCTAGGTAACATAAGTATCAGGTCTGTCATACACCTTGGTAACATAAGTATAAGGCCTGACATACACCTAGGTAACATAAGTATAAGGTCTGACATACACCTAGGTAACGTAAGTATCAGGTCTGACATACACCTAGGTAACATAAGTATAAGGTCTGACATACACCTAGGTAACATAAGTATCAGGTCTGACATACACCTAGGTAACTTAAGTATAAGGTCTGACATACACCTAGGTAACATAAGTATAAGGTCTGACATACACCTAGGTAACATAAGTATAAGGTCTGACATACACCTAGGTAACGTAAGTATCAGGTCTGACATACACCTAGGTAACATAAGTATAAGGTCTGACATACACCTAGGTAACATAAGTATCAGGTCTGACATACACCTAGGTAACTTAAGTATAAGGTCTGACATACACCTAGGTAACTTAAGTATAAGGTCTGACATACACCTAGGTAACTTAAGTATAAGGTCTGACATACACCTAGGTAACATAAGTATAAGGCTAAATACATACACGTAAATCAAATAGATAAATTAAGAAGTGATTTGTAAGTTATGTAATACAACAAAGGTTCTACAGCAATATCATGCCAGCTTATCTCTGTAACAAGTAAAATAACACGTAAGATGGCATGAAAACACACTATTAATTCAGAAATGCAGATCATTTGTCATTTTAGAGTTATGAAGAAACGCTATGACTGGGAGGTATACAAACAGTCTTCATTTCTCAATGCAGCAATGATAAAAATGCATAAAAAATTGACTGACTTTTAGTTTATTTTATGAAGAAACCATTTTTCGTTTTGAAATGGTACCAGCAATTTTTTTTATTTCTTGTACCATAAAAACTCCCTGACTGAGTAATATCCTGAAGGTAAATTTTTTCTGACACCCTTTCTCAACATTGGAGGGAGACTTCAAAAATTCCCATATCAGCTTTCCAAAATGACTACAGAAAATTATACACACAGCAACCTTTTTGTTTTAGTTAATATCAAAACTGACAGAAGTAAATTAAGAAAAGTTGATCAGTAAATTATTAATTAAATAATTAATGAAATGCCATTATTATCACAAAATACCAGAATGTTAAAATGTGCACCTGAATAAAGGGACAACAAAATTAAATAATAAAACCCCCAAAAAACAAATCTGAAATATGATACATGCTGATCATGCACAGAAAACAAAAATGTTCAAAAGTTTCCCATAATTTTCTAATTCTGAAATGTGCTTGTAACTTAGTTTGCCATCAATCCCAAATGAATTTTCCATCAATTCTTGAGAATACCAGTGTTGACTATCCATACTCTCTGCCTATTTTAGTGACTCAGCAAATTCCAAGATGGTTACAATATCAGTTGGATAACACATTCCTGAGTAAAAGTTTTGCTTTGTAAGGCCTGTCAGTTACCAGGCCACTCTGGTTTCCTTAGGCCTAGTTACTTGGCCACTCTGGTTTCCTTTGACCTAACTACCAAGCCATTCTGGTTTCCTTAGGCCTTATAACTAGCCTATTCTGGTTTCCTCGGTTTCTTAGAGTTGTAAAGCCAACATCCATTGAAAAGTTTCCAAAAAGATGTTGGTTTCCTTAACTACCTGTCTAGAAATGGTTCCCCAAAGTAGTGTACTATCGGTTTCCTAAAGTTACCAATCGGTTTCCTTTGGTGACCTTGCCTGTTAACTATGCAGCCATGTTAGGGTGTTAGTTGCAATTAGTCAGACAGATTATACTTACTCTCCGTCTCTCTCCGCTGGACTTAAACTACTGCTGGAGCTGCAGCGGACAAATGCAGGTGTCATCAACAAAATTTGGGGGCAGGGGGCAGATTAGGGGGCAAGGGGGCAGCTCCATCAGTGGACAGATGCAATATATGGTAATCCATAGATCAGTTTCTAACTAATTGCCATTTTATGTGTTAGGGAATTGATGTAAGTTTCACGTTTGATATAGGGACAGGATTATTGTAAAAATCAGGCTATTTTATTTCTTGAGTAAACCCTGTTATTACAACATAACTTCTAATGTTATATATCATCTAAATGTAATTGAGTTCTTAGAACGATCAAATACTGTCACTTCAAAACATTCAATTGTATCTATACGTCAGAATTCTCAGTGTTAAAATCACAACATACAGACTAGGTGAACAAATTAGACATTTAAGACCAATTAGGCAATATATAACTTTTAAATACATGTACAACATTAATTAAGAGAGTTTGAAAATGACAACATTATGAACTGATACAGTACTTGTGCAGTGAATGAATCTGTATGAGAGTGCGGACCACACCTTCAAAGTCCTAGACTACGATCTCAAAAACAACACACGCATAAACACAATACACTTTTTAGGTATCCTAGCCAGCTATTTTGGTCTCTGTTGTAAAATCCAATGGTTAATCTATCTTCCTTCAAAATATTTATGTTTATAAAGAGTTCTGTCCTGGGATGTCTTCCTTCATTTATATTTGAGAATGAATCTCTTGTAACAAGGTACAATATAAAAATCAGATGTTTGACTCTTCAATCACCATCCCAACGTCCTGTAACTATACTACCATGTCACTGTTTTGCCCACATTAATCAGAATATGTCACCAGCCAGCAAAAATATCAATTCTTCATTTGTTTTCTTTACTTTCGACATTAATCACTAAACAGGATTTTACTTACATGTTCAAAATTTGAAAATATTATCTCAGGATTAATTAAAATAAAATATTATCTCAGGATCAGTTAAGATGAAATATTATCTCTGGATCAATTAAGATGAAATATTATCTCAGGATAAATTAAGATAAAATATTATCTCAGGATAAATTAAGATAAAATATTATCTCAGGATCAATTAAGATAAAATATTATCTCAGGATAAATTAAGATGAAATACTATCTCAGGATAAATTAAGATAAAATATTATCTCAGGATAAATTAAGATAAAATATTATCTCAGGATCAATTAAGATAAAATATTATCTCAGGATAAATTAAGATGAAATACTATCTCAGGATAAATTAAGATAAAATATTATCTCAGGATCAATTAAGATAAAATATTATCTCAGGATCAATTAAGATAAAATATTATCTCAGGATAAGTTAAGATAAAATATTATCTCAGGATAAATTAAGATAAAATATTATCTCAGGATCAATTAAGATAAAATATTATCTCAGGATCAATTAAGATAAAATATTATCTCAGGATCAGTTAAGATGAAATATTATCTCAGGATAAATTAAGATAAAACATGATATGGTTCTGATACCGTACCCATGAAGCACTGATTAAATAGGTGTACTTATTTATAGAATATTGGATTGTATTTACCAATCTACAAATATCACACACCAAAAGACATACAATTTGTTTGCAAGAATACACAAATAAGACAAATAAAAAAAAGACAAACAAACATAACATACACATCTTCCATACAAACATGAGAAAATTAACACAAACAAATACAAAAAAAATACCGATATTTCTCATATTTCAGGAGAATTCAAAATAATTATACCATGCATATATGTTTGGCTGTAAAATTCACTTTCCTGGGTAGAATATGAGATATATGGTAAGTATTATTTTATGATAACCTTACAGATGAAAAATATGGCTGTTAGAATGTCCTGTAGTTTACAAAAATTACTACAATGATATCTTCGGACTTTGTTGCAGTCAATTCTTACAAGTATGATCATCTTTCCCTACCATCCTACCAACCTACCTACCAATCATCCTACCCACCTTCTTACCATTCTACCTACCATCCTATTATCCCACCAGCCTACCTACCCACCCTACCTACCAACCTTTAATCCTACCATTGTACCTAAAATCATCATACAAATCCACCATCCTGCCCACCTACCAACCATCCTACTGACCTACCAACCAACCATCCTACTATCCTACCAACCATCGTACTACCAACCTGCCAACCTACATTTGTAACCGACTCTCCCACATCCAACCTGTAATTAAGTTACAACTCTCTATATCTATGTAGTTAATAGTTCTTACATGATCTCCTCTACTGTTCTGGTACCAGTATTACAACTGAAAAAAGACCATTGATATCTGTGATGAGTTGTACGAACTTTAGAAAGTACATTTACAGATGTCAATATGTCATATTACAACAATTATGGTACGACAACATCGTTCTGTAACGGACCAAAAACTCAGGGGGATTCTTCGACAAGCGTCAGGATTTCTACAAAACCAGTTCACTCAATGGCATTGTGCAGCACTTCCGTCCGGCCAATGTAATTAAGACCTTGCCTAATGTTTCCATCCCGCATGTGATTTCTGGCCAATTAGATTTATGCAGGCTAGGATGTGAAGCATCAAGTGTCGTAACATTTACATTTTTAGTCTTTACATCATATCTGCGTAGCCAGGGTGTTCAGTATCTATCATAAGGCTGTGTTACTGATTGAAGACAACCAGCCGATTTATTGATTGGTTGACAAAGATGTTTAAAATTCTAACCGAGTTTGTTGCACAGACTGTATATTGATAGGATACAAACCCTCATTTTATTGACAATCCATTTTAATGTAAAATCCCATTCTATCCAAACTGTTTCCTGAATTAGCTTTTCAAACCATGAGAGAAAACCTTCCAAATCGTACAAAAATAATTCTAAATAGAATTTCCAAATTCTAATCCCATAGTTTTCGAGATAATAGAAGATATGTATTTGAGCTAGCATCAAATAACGGTATGTGGAAAGTTATGTTTTTCTTCGTAAGGAACACCAGATTGGCTAGGGATCACAATCAATACGAGTAATCAAATATAATGATAGCCCAATCCTTCTGAAAAATTCAGAATGTCTGTACAGACTTTTAACGTTCAGAATCACGAACAACCCCTTATCTAATGGAAAAATGTAGATCTATGTTCTTGCAGTAAAAAAATTTATTTTTAAAATTTTATTGAAAAGATGATGTAAAAAGTAAAACAAAAAATGCTTTGAAGGATAGCTTATTTGGTCACATCCACATTTGTTTTTAAGTCTATTAAGGCTTTTAAGGAGGGAAAAAAGTCACACATGGACAAAAACAAACAGATTCACAAAAACATATTCTGAAGCTATTGGATTTAAATGTATGATTTGAAGCTAGGATTCTTAGTGAAACAAATGTTTTGAAGCTATGGAATTTCCACACAGATCTTTTGTTGCCATGATACTTACAGGTAAAAATCGGAGTGTTTACGAGCTTCAAGAGCTGCTTCTTCTTGTTTTATTTTTCTCTTTCTTTCTTCTTCAGAAATTTGCGCCTGAAAGTCATGAAAAACAAGAACAATTTAAATTTAAATTATTTTTTTTTTATAGCAAATTGAAGAAATCTGTCATCAATTACCAACTTTAAAAAAGGAATTCATAATCAATTCCTGAGTAGTGTTCTTTTAAACTACAAAATGGAGGACACTCTAATCAATCATTACCAGTCGTTTCTTTCTGTACTGTTCTTCTTCTTCTCGTCTTCGTCTCGTCTTTTCTGTGGTTGGAGGTGGAGGACTCCGTTTCGCATCAGTAGTCTGGTGTTTAAAAGCTGTAAAAATGAAGGAAAATAATTTTATCAAACTGAAATGATCAAATTCAGTCTAAAATGAAAGGGAAATCTTCATAATATTCCTCTCATATAGGGATGTTCACCTTAAAAAAACTACAAGAATCCACCTCACATTCTCACTACAATATTTTCTTTTGTTAATTGACAGCTTTCCTGAATATCAAAATAAATACCAAAAAAAAAAAAAAAAAAATTTTAATTTGGTATTTGATCATAAATGTTTCAATTTTTAACCAAAGTCTGTTCTTCTATATATATTAACATTTTAGCATATTTATTCCATAATAAGCCCTAGGATCCCCAACATAAACCTTTGATTGAAAGTCAGGGGCTTATTAATGAACAGCACTAGATATGGGTGGGCTTATTACTGGACGTGGGCTTATTACCGGAGATGGGCTTATTGTAAGGTCAACATGGTAAATCATATTTCTTGGGAATATAGTGGCCCTTCATTTACAAATATTCAATTCAAATTTTATATTCATATTTAAAATAATGTATATGCCATGGCACACTTATCATTATTAGAGAAATCTTTACAAATATTTAGACAAATTAATTGGAAATTGACACATTTAAACAAGTTTTTCAAACAATCACAAAGTTAACCTGAAACCATCAATCTAAACAGGAAAGTATTGTTGATGGAAGATATAATAAATTTTCACAAAACAAAATCAAGAAAAGTAATTTTCAATGTATTAAGATGACAAATCTAACAGGTTCAAGCTTTAGGAGATACAGGAAAGTACAAGCACATAAAGAACCAAGAAAGGTCAAGGTCAAACTCAAGCACTGTTACAGATAAAGCAAAACACAGAAAAAAAACATGCAAAAAGACAAGGAATAAAGGGCCCCTCTTGTCTAACAGAAGAAGGACGGAAAAAAATTGAGAACACAATTCCACTAAAAGAAAAGGGTTCCAAGCCACTCCTTGTTTAACAGCAGGAGAATGAAACATTTATGAAAGGGGACATAACTGTTTTTAATTTATTGATATCAGGTTTTTACCAGTTCACAATTAAATTAATGATTTTTAAAGGAAGTAATTTAAGCCTGGGGCTTTGAAGCATTATGTTTACCCATACCATCAGTTCATCTTCATAAAATCAATGCATTTATACAAATCTGTGATGTTTTAAAGGATTTTCAAGAAGTTGTTGAAAAGAAATATGAAGGTCATGCAGTTCAAGCCATGTTGTAAAATTTTTCCTTGAATTTTTCCATTCCAAGCAACTTAAAGCCAAAATCTCTAAACTACAGGCACATTCTTTAAAACCTAACATATATACATGAAATATTACCCCCCCCCCCACTCCCACTTTTACTGTATTATGGCTATATATATATATATATTTCATTTTGTTGCAACGCCCACTTTTATTTACTGTACATACAAAAATAAATGTCACCATGCAACCTCGACACCTCCAGAGAAAAATGCATCGTATCAGAACAGCCTCATATTACTGACACACTGTACTTTCTCCTAATTACAATTTTTCCTGTAAATTGTTTCCCATTAGCACTGAAGCCATCCTAAACAATTACCAGGCAAATGTAACAGAAAGTTTGTAAATTATTCATACAAGAGACGCATTAACTCGAACAAAGTCCAAAAGAATACTTAACGGAAAAACACAGGAATGACAAAATAAAAAAAATCTTTAACATTTATTGAAACAAAGCGATCTGTTCTTTGGGGTTATCTTCTTTAAAAGTACCAGATTAAAGATATATGTCTTAATCTGATATATATACATTCTTATTCTCTTCTGAAAAATAGCTCTCCGTTTTTATGATGTTTTTTCTGCCAGAATATGTACGATTTTGATAAAATATAATAGTCAGTAAGCTTGGGCTATGTCTTAACAAACATCACCTATTTTCTTATTAAATGTGCTAGGAGAATTCATAGTATTGTGGTAAATCGGTCATGTCTGATTTTATCAGGACAGTCATGGCTGTATAGACTTCATCTTTGGCAGAAAGGTAATTTTTATATCTATCCCTAACATTTTCTTCAACAAGAAATCATTAGACATGCCTTCATATAATCATTCTACCTAAAAGTAAATACAGCATTTAAACTACAAAAATATTTCTCTCTGTCTACCTGTCATACATTCCAAATTCTGCATGAAATCAAACATACAATTGACCTACTACAACTTTAAGTTAACAGGTATTTCACATGCTTAAACTGTCTTTCTCTTCCTCCTATCAAAATCAAACATTTTTAGGACTATCTAAATCAGAAAAAAAATCAGGATCCTATGCATGCTTGTTTCAAACTCCATGTTTTCATATTTCAAACAAACATTTGAATGATTTTCGAACATGAACAGATGCATGCACTCTTGACATGCCAAAAACCTATCCTGGACCTTGTAAAACAAATAAGAGAAGCCCTATACCATGCTTGACCTGAGATGAATGTCCTATGAGTTATGAACTGAGCTGTTAAAGAGTTAGAACTGATTCTATCATAATGACCGGTCCTGGTCAATTTGACCATGCATATCAAGAGACACATACTCACCCAAGTCATCAACAAAACTCAATTCATCATCAAAGACTGTTTAAAAAGGTTTGAGAGTATATATATTTTTTGTAACTCAAATTAAAAATTCAAGCATTGTTATCTTTTTTAGCCTGATCAGCAATTAATGCTTTTAATCAGGCAAAGCTAAATTAAAACACACAAAATGAAACATGAGAAAAATGAGGGTAAAGATGACTCTATATTGTGAGCTAGCTTACGACATGGTATATATTCTATACCTGTGGTAGTAGGGGTATCAAACCCCCTCTTGTTTAAACAGCGTGAATAATAATTTTGATATTAGTGCAGCCAGCGCCCTACGTTATTTAGTATGTTGTGCCACCACACCACTCTATATATAATTAATACACACTGTGACCGAGCAGACGGACTAGAGTACCTCCGTTAGTGAGATTGATTGGTGGGGGACTGGTTACGCCCAGCTGCTCAGCAGCTGATAGGTTGCTGCGATTCTTTTTGTTGCCCGACGAGATACGTTTTATAGGGTGTTTTCTGGCTGGAGGTATGGGGGACGGATTGCCGTTTCTAAGAGAACTAGAACCTCGGGAAGGCTCCCATTTGATTGGCTGATAATGGTGCTTTGTGAATGGCTGATGCCCTGGAGACATTCGTGGAAGAGGCGGGACTTTTGGAGGTTCACATCGATCCTTTAGTTCTATTCATGCAAAAAGGGAAAAAAAGAACCTCATGCATCAAATACAAAAAATGAAGACATAAAGAGAAATCACACGGAGAAGGATATCTGCGAAAACAACGGGAAAAGTATAAACACAAAGCAACAGGTTACAAAAACACAGGAAAAATGAGTTTAAGTAAAACAATGCAGGAATTCGGTCAATAAAAAAAAAGAAATCTATCGAATTTGAAAAAAAAAAAAAAATTGTCAGATGGAAAGTATAAGGAGACACTGTTCTGAGATTTGCATGCAAAACTTGTAATTCCTATGACCCCAACAAGCCCCAATACAAGACAGGAAAGCCTAACCCGATATCGCTAATTTTTTTAGTCTGATTCCTATTCCCAAGTTGTGCTACATGGCCATACTGGGTAGTCACGGTGAATACAAAGGAGGCTGTGCAGTAAGCAGAGACAGACGGTGACAGTCTAGGCATGAAACATAACAGTATAACTTTTCTCCTTCAAAGCACAACACAATTTTGGCAAGGAAAACCTGTGTTGTGTTTTGATAGCAGATTAGGGCACTTTCCATGTGATCCAGTATTGTATGTTTATATTGAATAAAAGATTCACATCTTAAATATTAGTAATGAACAACATTCTGATATTTTCAAGCTATTTCAGCCATGAGTGTTTCAATATGACCATTAAGATCAAGTTAGGCAGACAACGAACTTTATAGTGCTTGTAACAGTCATAACAAAAACTGATGTACTTAATTGGAGAAAATTTTAGAGTTTTCAAGCCTCTACGGTCAGTCAATGAAAAATTGCTAAGGTCTATGAATAGATCTAGAGGACTGTTCCAACTGTGCAGCCCTTCCAATGGAAAGCACCCAGTGTTGTTAATGCCAGGGAATGGCAAGTCATTGTGCCTTGTCTTTTGTGACACAACACAGTGAAAAAGAAAACAGGGTGAGGACGGAAAGTGTTACCATGGCGACTACACAAGGTTGAGGCTGACAGTATCACCATGACGACTACACATACACAGTTGAGGATGAGTATAAGTGTTAGTAACCTGTGTCTCTTGGTCTGTACTGGCCCCTCCCCTGGGGATGCAAGGGCCCTTGGGGTTGAGGATGATGATTCTTGGACTGGGAAGGCGGGCGGTGTTGAATTGAACCCCTAGGGATCTGTGTCTGAATTCTTTTCCTGTAGGGTAGACGGCTATTTTTCTGTGACAACTTTGCATCCTCTTGAGCCCATTCATTGCCTATGGTATGGATGAACTGCATCTCTTGGACTGGGCTGTAGGATTTGAATGACTCTGGAGAGCTGTTTTTATTAACAGTGGAACTCTCACTAGCATGAATAACTTGTTCACTGTTTTCATTTTTGAATCTGGAAAACTTCTTTTGATCTCTGTAGTCTTTAAATACATCTTTCAGACTTCCAGATATTGTTCTAGGAAGAGCAAAATCATTGAAATCGACTTCCTTTCTTTTCGAAGTGTTTACGTTTGATTGCGACTTAGATGACTGATATGCCAGTGACCTGTCGTTAAACCTGTCTGAAAGATCAGGCTGCGACTTCGACCTTGTATAGGTCTCACTGAGTGGAACATCATCTGGATGACGATGACCTTGATGTCGACCATCCGGTGACCTTGACCTTTCTGACCTTTTGCCCATGGATAGATCATCCTGACAACTAATAGGTGTCGGAGATGGAACCCAATCCCTAGCAAGTTCGCCTGTACCCGGTGACTCATTGTCGCCCATCTTGATAATGAATGTTCCCGTGCTACTCGTCCGTGAAGATAGACTATCCTCATCATCCAGGTCAGAGGTCAAAGCTGATGTTAATGATGGGTATGTGGTGACTGCCTCTAACACAGGCAGCTGTTTGTCGTCCCAGTGGCTGTGAATGATCAAACCATACGTGTCCTTGTCTGTGTGGTCATCCGACTCAATATCTTGTGGCAGTTCTCCTCTGGCTGATCTCTGCCACACATCGGCCAGGTACTTTTCAAGTATTGGTTTCCTTTGGGCAAACTTTCCCTGAGAGAATTCGTTCCCTTTTGCCAAATCCCTCAAATTTCTTACCTTGAACTGAACGTCATCCACTGGCTGTGTCTGTAGCTTAACATTGTCTGTTTTATTGTCATTCATAGTATCGTTATTCCACTCATTATCTGCAGTTCTGAACTGTGGATGTCTTGGATCAACAATTTCCTGATGAGGGTAAATTAATTCTGTGTTTTTAAGCAGATTAGAGTCATTTCCTTCACCTCTGTTGAAGTACATGCTTGGGGCCTCATCTTGAGGAAGTTCTTCACAGAATGTGAAGTAAGCCCTGACTCCAGGTCTTTCTTCCTCTTTCTGGATTCCACAAGTGTTCTCAGGTTCATCTTGGTGATCTTCTGGAAAGTTTGGTGCTGGGGCTCTAGAATTTCCTGTGAGGGTCTCAAGGGGTGTTTGCATATTGTCTGGAATGATGGGTGAGGGATCAGTCCCTGACTGGGGGATGCTGAGGTTGGTGGACTTCGAATAGGGGGCAGACATACATCTCACATGGAGGCTTGTGACACCTAAATCATCCTTGTACTCTCTCTTCTTTTCCTTGACGTAAATTTCATACTGGTTGTTGGTCTCTTCAATGTGAGTGCCATAAATAGCTCGATGAGGAGTCAAAGCATTTACCCGAGGATGTTGTGCGTTTAGAGCACTCGAGCTTGGACACAGCGGACTGGATATATTTGAATTGGGTTTCCTGAAATCACTGTCATCAGACTCTGATTGTTTGGGATTATCTTCATAAGTTTCTACCCGTCTAGCATAGACTAGAGATTGTTCATCATCATTTTTTGTATCTTTCATTTTAGCCTGATTTTGCCTCGACTCCACGATTGAAATATCTACATCAGGTGCTGAAATGGTTTCTAAATGTGTCAAAATATTTTTCACTTTTCCAGAATCTTTTAAAAGTGATTTCTGATCTGATTTGGATTTGTCTTTAGACTTTTCCAGGTGATCGTAAACTGCCCGGATATCTCCCAAAGATTTTTCACGCTTCATCAGACCACGGTCATTCGCTGGAGCCCAGGGTTTATGCTTTTTTGTTGGTAATCTCTTCGTCTTTTTAAAGTCTTCTAATTCTGCACCAAGCTTTTGAAGTTCTTCTTCTGTAGAAAAGTCAATTAGCTCTAGAAAAGCACGATCCATGCTTTTTGGACGAGACTTCATTGCTTCTATACTGGTTACTTTTTCAAGGTTATGGAAATGTCTCTGAAGTGTTTGAAAGTCATCAGACTTTCCTGTTGAGTGTAGAAGCCCGGCCGTGTAGGTCTGGTACGTGTGGGAATCCAGTCGTGATGACCTCTCACTACATATGGATGCCTTCGCAGAGACGGACTGATGGGCTGGCTCATTACCATCTTCTTGATCACTGCTCTCTTGCTCCTCCGGCGTGAAGGACATCAATTTTGACCATGGGTCTGGAAACCTCTGTTGCTGTATCTGTGACCCATGATCTCCGTCATCATTATATACATGAGTCATATGTGCCACATGTGTAGCATCTACATCATCAACTGTGTAGGGCATATACGCCGGATAATTATTGTCCACTTGTGTATCAAAATAATCCAGTGTTGGCGATAACTCTCCACTTACACTAATATCTTGTCTGCTGTCTGTCTCACCATTTGTGACTTGACTTTCTCGGTCTTGTAAAAGTGGAGAGTTCCGATCTCCAAGAAGAGGTGAGTCATCTAATTCCCGTCCCCCAGGCACTGGGGAAGCGTTTGGTCGAGCAGAGGAACACCGAATAGTCTCCGTAAGCTGCAGGTGACTCTTGGGGACGGAGATGAGGTCAATTTTTCTTGGACTGACCGTAGGTGTTGATGACAATGAATCTTCAAATTGATTTGATTTTCGTGGACTGACCGTTGGAGTGGAGGATAATGAATCTTCATACTGGCTGGCTTTTCGTGGACTGAGCGTTGGTGTTGACAATGACGAGTCCTCGTATTGATCTTTAAGTTTTTGGAACCGATTTATGAATAATTCATCGTCGCTTGGATCAACATAATTCATTTCTCTGTGGTCATATTTCCCAGTTATTGGCTCATTGACCTCAAAAGTATCAGTTAAATCCACAGACTTTGGACCCCATCCTACAGTCTGTTCTGGCTCACTGTTAGACGGGGCTATCTGGTGACCAAGCCTGAGGCTCAGATGTGACCTTTGACCTACAGCATACTTATCACGATCCTTAACGTCAGATTCATAGCTTACAGTTTGATTGCTCGGCTGAATCTGACCAGAACGTATCTGCATTTGTAGAACTGATCGTGTCAACATTGTGATACTGTTTTTGAAAAGATGTTATTTTTGCTCAGACTGATTGATTCCGCTTCAACGTTTGGAAGGACGGACCCCTAAAACGGGAGCATGCCCATTGAATATTATACACCTTCATCCTTCTACATCCTCATCTGTCTGGAAAAAATAGTTTTGTTAGTAAATAGTTATTTTTATGATGAAGAGGTCAGTACTTGGAACATAACATCACTATCCGTGAAATCAAAAATGCATGATCTTAAAAATTAAAATGGCTTCCATAAAAATGATTTTCGATATTGGAAACAAGTTAACTTTACATATATATATATATAAAAAAACAATAATTTACTTAAAAAAATACATGTACGATATGAAACACTGATTCAAATTTTTCTAGCAGATTTTGATGTATATGAGTAATGATATGAGAGGTGAGGCTTAATGTTCCAATAAAAGAAAGGTCAAGGTCATGCTATGTAAAGAAGGTCATACCAATACAATGCATGCTTCAAGCTTGAAAGATATTAAACTTTTCTACACCAAATTTAACTGGATCAAAGGAAAGTTACTTTTGGCCACAGAATAAACAGATTTTGTCAATTTTATACTGACAACAACTTGGATTGTTTACATAGATATCTTTTTGGTACCAAACTTTTACAAGAATGAACAATATCACTATAACAATTTTTTTTCAGAAAAGTGATTTCATATAAGATGAAATTTGCATCAGTTACCATGGTTTCTTATGAATAGTGATAATGATATCACAATGATCTCACTGCTTCAGTGATATTTCTATCAATGAGTCATTATGGAAGAGATATCGTAATATGTGTGAACATGAATACATAAAACTCAAAATAGCATGACAGCATGTGTAGTGAATTAATTTTAAGCTAAATATAACTATACATAATGTACAGATGTTTTCTTCATTGTTATCGTTATTTTTGAAAACACAAAAATTCAAATAAAATTAATTTTTCTGTTTGTTTATTGTTTATATTTTCAAGGTATGATAAGTTACAACACAAATATTATCAAATTTGTATCTAACTATCACTGTTATACATACACAGGTGACTGTGTGTTTCAGATCAGAGCTCTGATCAACTGAGAGAAAAATTTCCAGCTGATCTTTAACATCACCTTTTTTCTTCTATACCTCAAAACATATCTAAAATATTTTTATAAAACTGAACATTTTTTTTTAAAACATGAATAAAAACAATCTACTTGACCCTGCTCAAATCCTCTCATTTGACTTTGATAATTATAGAATACCATATTTGTCATCGTGACCTTGACAATGCCTGACCTTGAGAAATCCTGACAAAAAAAAAATCTGTTCCTGCTTATAACATGCACAGTGCTATACTTGATTCCACCACAGACAATGATAATATGGCCATGTGCATGGACAAACATTCACCCACCCACTTTTGACAGTAAAGCCTCAAGATTCATCCCTGGGGAGTAGTCTTTACAACCTTACAATCTGACATCAGTCTTACTGACTGACATCTCACACAAAAAAAAGTTGAACTCAAGACAAAAAATTTTGGGATATTAAAAAAAAAACAATCACAAGTTTGTTAAATATTTTTTGTTAAATCCGACAGGACAAAAGTTGATTATAAATATTTGTAACAGCCAAATCTATATGTATAAATATATATATATATATTTTTTTTTTTTGGCTGACAACAACAAAACATAATACATTAAAGAATGTATTTCAGGGCAGAAACCGTCTATACTAACCAATTAGTACCATTTTCAGAAAACGATATCTAAAAAAGATACATCATTGTTTACAAAAGTACAAATTTCCAGCCAAGCGGTAGAAAAATGCAGTAAACAGAACTACAGTGTTGGGTTAGTCTTGGCTTGGAGATACAATAAAAACATTTTCTGGGATAGGAGAGAAGATATTTTTCAAATCATGAGTCACTGATATGGAAAAGCCAAAAAGAGATATATAAGTGTTTTGAGAAAAGGGAGGTTCATAGCAGAGGTCTGTATAAATATATATGATTATAACACCATTATCCATGTAACCAGCTACCTGGGTGTAAATATAGGTATGTATGTATGTATATATAGATATGAAATAGACTACAAGAGGTTGTTAATTAAGCAGAGGTCTACTATAGTATCTTATATATAGCTAAGATGTACAGAGAGTCCCGACCTGTTCTGTGGAGGAGAGTATACTTATTTTACAGAAACATAGATAGGGAAGAACGAGGGATTGTAAGTCACATCCACTATGTCAGAATTAGGATCATCCAAATAGTAGGAATTGTATATCGAAATAAGCAATTCTATCTTTCCATTCAGAATTGCGTGTTTCTTATATATATAAAGAAAGATATAAATTAAATATATATATAAGAAAAATAATACTTATGAATCATAACATGATTTTAAGGGAAATAATTAATTGTTACACAGTGAAACCAGGTGTCATTGTTAATGTGACAATTCTACAAATCTACAGTCTCAAGGATTTCTAGCTCCATATAAATAACATGATAAAATACAAAATATTGTTAATTTGAGAATAAAAAATAAAGGAAGAAAAAAGCAACTGACGTGATAATTAATGTTCTAGGAATGATAACTTAACAGAGAAGGTCAGCGATGTGAAGCTAAATGTTCTTGGGGGACGTTTGTCATTAAAAAATTCACACAACCTGACATGCAGTGAGGTCTGGGAATGTACCCAGAGTCTGCCAAGGTGTGGTCTTGTGTACTTACTTGCTCCCCGCTCAGGTGCGGGTTTCTGTAGGCCCCGAATAGGGATATCACCCCCTTTTTGTATGAGTTTGTATGAATCTTCACCGTTTTCTTCTGTCGGTGGGGGCAGAGGCGCGGGGGCTGATGCAAGGCGTTTCCTGCCCTCCGTACTAAAAAAAATAAAGAAACATATTTCTGTGTAGTAATCAACATTACAAAGGTAATTCAATACCCACAGCTCTCAGGAAGTGTGTTGAATAATTATTCTAATTATGTAATTTTATTGAGACACGATACACACCTGTTTATACAAATCAGATAATTACTTGTATAAAAATAGATTAAATAAAGTCTGTCACCAGTAACCAATACTGGGTACAATGGATTGAAATATTCATTAATCAATCATAAAATATTCTGCTGTTGTAATGTACTGAAAAAAAAACCACTTAATTTTTCATACCCACATTTTAATGTCAAGTTGATAAAGAAAAAGTTTGACGTATTTCTGAGTATAATGCTAACTACTAATTTATCAGAAAATGTACCCCTAACAAAAGTCTCAATATTCAGTCATCAACAATATTAATCTCAGAAAGTAACACGATGATCTCCAGAAGAAAATACCATATATATATGTATGTATATCAAAATAACTTCTAACAACATGTCAAATTAAACATTAGTGCTTTCATTTCTGTATCATCATGATACTTAATGAAGATCCTGGTGAGATGCTGTTTGAACTCATTTTAATATATTTCATCAGACACTGTGAACTCAACCTTTATATTTGAACATATAATAACTAATTATTGAATATAATAAAACTTAACCATACAGTTATATCGTATGTATTGATTAAAGATTTGATTAATGAAGTCGAAACGACAACTTGTGTTTTCCTAACATGTTCAGGCTTTACGGCCATCTTCATGCAATTACTTTATATACGATAAATCAATACAGTACCTGTTGCTACAAAAAATATATACTATATTTAAACCTCAGTAACCCCAGGGGTCAAAACTTCACCTTTGACTCCCTAGTAGCTAGGGGATGCTTGGCTGACTCGTACATATTGCAGAATAGTGAAATGAAATTTAAATAGCATCATTGAAAAGACTTTTAAGCGGGTGGGGTTATTATCAGGCATGAGCTTATTAAAGGATAAAAAAAAAATTATGTACTCCTGGAAAATTTTATCATCGATGTCAAGCATCCGTGCTTGTTCCGACACAACGCGATACCACTGATCCAAACTCTCGAGGTGTGTTTCTGATAACTGTACTTTCGCCACACTTGGACTTGCAGTTGGTGATGAACACACTCCTGATGCATAGGGACAGCACTGCATTGTCACTCCAAATATTCTAGACACGAAACAATCAGTAAAGGCTGTGTACGAAATTATGCCCTAAGTGTACATTGGTAGGCATGGTAACTCCAGAAATTCTCCACACAAGATTCACAAAATTCTGGACATGCCTGGTCATTAATTGAGACTCATTCAAAAAGATTCAGAACATAATGGGTAAATCCTGATCACACTGGACACAAATGGTCAGCTGCTAGAGACTTGTTGATTCTCTTATCTCTCATTTCCTCGTTGAATCAATCTGTACAAGGCCCTTCACGTGTTACACACTTTGGCCAGATCCAAAAATATATATCCTTACTGGCACGTCAATACAACTTTCCTGTGTCATATGGATGTTCAGAGTAGAAGAGACGGGAGGTCAGAAACAAAATCACAAAGTAAATCCAATGGTAAATTAATTGATGTCTTCCAATCAAATCCATTAGAAAATAAACTGCCGGTGCTCCAGCTACCAGCGGAGAGCTATCCCAGTGTGTACATGGAAGAAAACGGTCAGTTCTAGTCCTGAACTGGACAGTACAACATATGGCCTATGTTGATATTATGGGCAGTGATTACATTATCCCATTACATCCCTAATTACATATCACTGACACTCACAAAGCTTGACCAGAGTAGGTAGCTTGGACCTTACCATTGGCAGAATGCCAGTCTAGTCCTACACCATCCAGAGTCCTCAGCTAATGACAAACTACATATATGTTGATCAAATTTATACCACATGTATATTAGTATGTGTCTACTCATCAACAACAGAATCAATTAACATACATCTGTACCAGCTGTCATCATTTCAATGTCATTTCATTATCATTTCATTATCCATTACATTTTTATTTTATATCTAAAATAATATCTTAATTTTCCTTTCATAATTTTGTCAGGCACTGAGACATATTCAGGATTTGGGTATCAGATAAACGTGTAAGATAAAACAGGTCAACAATAAAAATTGTACATGATTTGGTCAAACATGGGTTTACAGATTGTAATATCTATGCCATCTCACACATTGGAGACTGACTTAATGTTAAAGTTACAGCTATGTACTACCTTACACATTATACCTGTGTTTGAAATGTGGCAGAGTTAAGGCTATATGCTACCTTGCACATTATACCTGTGATTTGTAGCAGAGTTAAGGCTATATGCTACCTTGAACATTAAACCTGTGATTTGTAGCAGAGTTAAGGCTATATACTACCTTGCACATTATACCTGTGATTTGTAGTAGAGTTAAGGCTATATACTACCTTACACATTATACCTGTGATTTGTAGTAGAGTTAAGGCTATATACTACCTTACACATTATACCTGTGATTTGTAGCAGAGTTTAGGCTATATGCTACCTTGCACATTATACCTGTGATTTGTAGCAGAGTTAAGGCTATATACTACCTTGCACATTATACCTGTGATTTGTAGCAGAGTTAAGGCTATATACTACCTTACACATTATACCTGTGATTTGTAGCAGAGTTAAGGCTATATACTACCTTGCACATTATACCTGTGATTTGTAGTAGGGTTAAGGCTATATGGTACCTTACACATTATACCTGTGATTTGTAGCAGAGTTAAGGCTATATGCTACCTTGAACATTAAACCTGTGATTTCTGGCAGAGTAAGTTTTGTTAGCAGTAAGAAATAGGCTTTCTTGTGATAGTATGATTTGTTTAAGAGTTCTCTTCCTTATTTTCTCTACAATTACAGAATTAAAAGTCATTTTTGTTAACCCTTCTAAAAATTGCATGTAACAGTAAGAAAGTCTCTTAAATAAGAGAGATGAGTAAAATTACTTAGATTTTTTCAAAACAACAAAATCTTTACAACATATTCATTTATTTTTTACTGAACAGGAAATGACTTTTAACTCCAACAGGAAGACCAAGACGAATATTTGATAAGGACGTAACCACATACCTAATGACAAAATAATCATCTTGTTATGACGCAGATTCAAACAACCGCTATTAAACATCACTTGTTTATGTACACACATATGCTGTCCTTGTTGGATATGAATTATGTCTATAACAGACAAAAACCCTCTCCTCTCCTATTAAGGATATCTGGTTATTTATGAGTCGTGACAATCAGATACACTATTTATGAAACACTGTCGACTTTTAATTTCCCATGAAAGGCCCAACAACACCAGAGACATATACACAGGGGTATGTATCAGGGTTTCAACACATGTAAACCTTTCATATACAAATACATGCTTTGAATTCTGATACACAAAAGATACACTAAACTGTTGTAAGTATATTGCCTATATATGTCAATAGTATGTTAACAGAATCAGTCCCTGATGCGAGTTTAGGGACAAAATCATCCTATCCTGTGTTATGAAAACAGAGACGTGTCCAAGATTTTCCAGGTTCAAACTAAATAATCCTTTTGTATACAATTATCTGACAGCTGGGACGGATTTATTATTATTATATTTTTTTTTTGTTAAAAAATTATTGTGCATATGAAAGTAAATAACGAAGTAGCAAGGACTAAGCCGACTTAAGACAAAGCTTATCTAAGCCAATGTTTCATTTCTTGTACAAACAATATTTAAAAGTTTTAAATGTGTTCATTGTTTTGATGAAATACTGTGCCATCTGCACAAAATCTAAGTTATTCCCCCTTGAACAAAAAAAAAAAAAACAGTCCATCGTAAAATGTTCATAAAAATTCCAGATCCTAAAATGCAATAGAGTTTTCCAAGCAGCTGTCAGAAAATCTGATATCTGGAACTCGTTTGCAAACATATCAGACCCTAAACACCACAGGGACCTGTGTTGATGTTCATAAAATACATGGAGTAGGGCAGAACAAAGATTGGCTGTGCAACATTTGATGAAGCCTTGTCAACTGTTAAAAAATATCACACAGAAAAACAGCATCTGTAAAGTTAACAACATTCATCAAGTGTTTAGATTATATATCTTTCAAGTTTGTCATCTTCGCTCCCAATGAAGTCTCCATCATTGTATAACTGTAATATATCTATTGAAGGGAAAAGTAATTTTAGTATGCATGCATTGAAAACAAGTCTTGCGTCCTTTTTCACACCAGGATACAGAGGAATATTAGATGTGATAAATAGCATGACAGTTTTCTCGATGCACATGCATTATGATATATAACACAATTCTAGAAACTTGGCCCAAGGACGCCCGACCCCTATGATACGATATTTCTCTAGAAATTTGGCCCAAGGCCGCCCGTATATGTTTCAATGATCTCGATAAGTTTTATAACAGAGCCAACAACATTCAACTATTTGCTGTACTGCTTAGTATTAAAATTTACTCACAGCCATGATTAAAAAAAAAAAAAAAAAATACAACCCGAAAATTGTAGGTGTTGCTTTGAATGATGTTGAGCCCTTGGCGTTACCATTAACGACACCATCAGCGTCACAGCATCATTAGTAGGACAATTTGAACAAGGCTGGTATAAAAAAAACAATTTCTCGTGAATAGATTAACTTGTCAATGACTGTTGCCATGGAAACCAACTACCAATGTCATTATGGATGGTTGAAGTTTCAGCAGATGAGTCGTATGGATAAGTGACAAATGAAATGTTTTAAGTGTGATGCAGTTATATACAGTTTTTGCACAAGATTCTGAATATCTAGAAATGAAATGTTTTTTATAATGTATTTAATAATTAGCTAAAATTGTCTAAATCAGTTTCGAGAAACAGAATCAGAATTTATGTCTAATAATTAAACACGAACTCAATTTTATGTATGACAATAGAAAAAGACAGATTTGTGTT